ACATATTTCAATTTAGATAAGAACCTAAAATTTGACTTTCAGGTTAAAAAAACAGAAATAAGCATTGTAAAACTAAAAATTCGGATTTTCGGATTTTGAAATCCGAATTTTGGACTTTCGGATTTTGAAATCCGAAATTCGGATTTTCGGATTACGGATTTCAAAATCCGGATTTGTCGGATTTTCGGAGAATCCGGATTTAGTTCACATCACTAATTTGAATAATATGAAAGTAAATATTTTTTATTTTATCGTATATATCTGCTACCCTCATTACTATCGTAATAATTGCTAGACGATAATTAAACCCCCTATTATTAATATCGTATATATATATATATATATATATATACATACTAAGCCAAGCCGAGCGTTACGTTAAGGGGTTAACTTCGTAAATTTACAATTTTCCGGGCAACTTATCCAATATTTCCGTAAAAATTTCTCCGGAATGTTCGAACATTAACAAAAAAATGAGTTAAATCAGTCCAGCCGTTCACAAGTGATGCGTTCACCAACGAGTGTTACAGTTTTTTTCGTTGACCCCCAGCGCCAAGGAGTCCCATAAGAAGCATAGCTTCAAAAATGTATTGAAAATAAATGCGAACTTGCCATTTTTTTTCAGATATAGCCTTGGACTAATAGTATCTGATAAATTATTAACCATGTACAACTTTTGCCAAATTTGATAGTTAATTGGGTCTTTCAAAGTGTATTGGTATTAAAAGAAGTTTCTTGTTCTTTACATTAGAAAAATCGGACTTTTTTATAAATTCATCTCAATGAATAACTACTAATCTTAATATTTGTTTATCATAACCTTCTAAAAAATGTTAAGAATATTGTTATATAATTTATTTTACTGTTTTTTGAAGTTGTGTTAGATCAGACTTCGATACAACAAGTACCATAAATAAAGAAACAACTGTTAGAAAACCAAACACCGTGGCTGAAATTAAACAGGAGGTCGATAAAATCGATATTAATTGTTTTGTAGTATCTGGGATAGAAATTGAAAAAAACCAGGATTTAACAGTCATCAAAGACGAAGATGTGCCACCTCTTTACACCGAGTAAGAATTGTATAAACATGCAAAAGATTTCATTAAAGATTTACAATTAAGTTATTATCATAATATTTGTATAACTATTCTTTTTAGTAATACACTCATCAGTAATATGAAATATAATCAAATTCAAACTGCAGAATTTCTATCCAGCTCAGTTAAAAAATGTATTACGACACACACAGCTAAGAAATCATTTCATTGTGGATTAGGACTGAAAACATTATCATCTGTGGATCTAAATAAGCACAAAAAGCCACACACAGGTGAGAGGCCTTTTCAATGTGAGATATGTAAGAAGGCATTTTCACAAAATGGAACTTTACAAATTCATAAAAGAACACACACAGGTGAGAGGCCTCTTCAATGTGAGATATGTAAAAAGACATTTTCACATTCTGAAAATCTAAATAGGCACAAAATGACACATACTGGTGAGAAACCTTTTCAATGTGATGTATGCAAGAAGACATTTTCACAATCTGGAACTCTAATTATGCACAAAAGGACACATACTGGTGAGAGGCCTTTTCAATGTGATGTATGCAAGAAGAAATTTTCGAAAGCTGGAGATTTAAATAAGCACAAAAGGACACATACTGGTGAGAGGCCTTTTCAATGTGAGTTATGTAAGAAGGTATTTTCACAATCTGGAAATCTACATTTGCACAAAAGAAAACATACTAATGAGTGGCCTTTTCAATGTGAGATATGTAAGAAGAAATTTTCGAAATCTGGAGATCTAAATAGGCACAAAATAACACATACAGGTGAAAGGCCTTTTCAATGTGATATATGTAAGAAGACATTTTCACTTTCTGGAAATCTTAATCAGCACACAAAGACACATACGGGTGAAAGGTCTTTTCAATGTAATGTATGTAAGAAGACATTTTCACAATCCGGGACTCTTAAAAAACATATAATGATACACTCAGATAAAAGTTAAATCATGCCTAAACATGTTCGGAAATCTTAATTTTAAAATAGGGAAACTGACTATCAATATTTATAAAAACTAGAATTTAATTATTTTTTAAGAATTAAGTACTAAAAATATGATATGATGTCATCAGTTGGACCTTTTGTAGAATCTAATTTTTGATATTTTTGAAGGCAACTCATAGTTTTAATGTAAGCAAAAATAAGAATTTAGAAGTTTAGTTCTAACTAAATTTTTTATTTTATCAACCATTATAGTGCAATGTATTGTTCAAAAATAATAACTACAAAGTTATCTAGTATAGGAAGATTTCTTTTTATTATAATTTGTAGTAGTAATAAGTTTATGTTTGTTTAGCCAACTTTACATAATTAGAATTCTAAGATATTATACATAATATATTATATTAAATTTATAAATTCTAACTTATGTCTTTTATACGCCATTGAACGATTAGGCAATTTTAAAATGTTTTTAATCAAGACATTTTTTTTCTTAAATTTAGCTGCAGTTGTTGAAAAAATTACTTTAAAATATTTTGTGATGTTTTTTTATTTTTACGAATAATATAAATAGTTTAACCATTAAGTTATGTGTATTTTAAATTTTTATACTATATTTTTTTAATGAAATCTATGACTATTGTTAAATTTCTGTTACACATAACCCTTGAAAGCAGGAATTAAAAACTCTACTTATACGGCCTTTTGTTATTTCTGAAAAGTTTCAGTGTAAGTGTTCTTTATTATTGTACTGTTCTTTTTTACTATACAGAGCGATCATTCTACCGTGAACCATTCAATATCTTATAGGGTTTAATAAGAAATTTAATTTTTTCGATGAATGACCTTGTATTATGTTTTCTGGAAATCAATATGCATAACTAAACTTGGAGTATTGGATGGAAAAATTTGTCTTTATTTCATTGTTTATTAATGTACAGTTTTGAAACTTATAGTTTGAAAATTGTTGCACTGACAATTTTCTCATAAAAAACCGAGCTAATGGGTACTTGAAATATATTTTCAAGTACTAACTATTTTTAACTAATACTGTTTTATTTTACAAAGAACTATTTTAACAAATCGTTACAGACATAAATATTAATAATATTTAATTCAATCTATAATAATTAAACAAATAAACGAGAAAAACACAAAAAAATTATTAAAATTAAGATTCTTATGAGCAAAATAGTAACATGAAGTCTATGACGTATTATTTATGTAATCTTGCACGATGCGCTATAAGAGAATATTTTTTTTTAAAGGATTTCTGACATACATCGCATTTGTAGGATTTTTCGCTGATGTGAACACGTTCGTGTATTTTCCAACCGGAAAATTGGTAAAAAAAAACGTTTTTCGCAAACTCTACATTTGTATAATGCCTTTCCGGTGTGAATGGACACGTGTGCCTGGAGAGTAGACATTTGGCGAATACATTTCTTGCAGAAACTACATTTAAAAGACTTTTGTCTTTTATGCACAAGTTCATGTCTCTTGAGGGTAACGTTATTGGCAAATGAATTTGTACAGAAACTACAATTAAAAGGCTTTTATCCTGTATGGACAAGTTCATGTCTCCCGAGGTTACCGTTAAAAGCAAAAGATTCCTTAAACACGTCGCATTCATTTGATGTGTTGACCTCGTTGCTGCAACGGGCCAGAGTTTGATCACTTAAACAAATGTGAATTCTAGTTATTAAAAATCTCTCCGAAAATTCATGCATATTTCTACAAAGAATCGTTTTTTATATACATTTGAAATAGACGTCATTTTGTAAAATGTTAGACAAAATACAAAAATTATGAGACCAAACTATCATGGAAAAAAAATAGAAAAATATTATCAATTCGTTTTTCAAAAATTAATGGACAAAGTTAACAAAATTAAAACAAAGTTCAAGCACAGATAAAAGACTTACATTGTTGACGGTGACGAAATGGCGATTTAACATCAATTATATAGTTAGTTTTTGTTCTCAAAAATAGATTTTGATGAACAAATATATTATTTGTCAAAAGAATCTTAGGTTTGTTGCACATTTCTCTAGTACAAGAACAATAATCTCATTCAATATTTAGTGTAATTATAAAATTCAAAATATAAAAAAAAAACTTAAAAACTAAACGGTAAGAATAAATCTTACCTTATTATCTTAAGTAATTTTTGAAATAGAGGATCTAAAGTTGGGCTTACGAGATGTAAGATGTACGACTATTGTAAAGATTTTATTAATTCACCTTTTATTAATGAAATGTAAAATATAAAAAAATAAAACTAAATACAGGTCAAAGATCTGCTAGTAATTATTTCTTTAAAAATCAAATAACAGCTAACGGCGAACACGTTAATTTTTTTCAGATTAAACGTAATAAAACTTTAAAAGGTTTGTTTGAAACTAGTAATCGTTGTTTAAGAAAAAAAATAATATTTTTATTTTAGTGTGATTTGTAGACAAATTATTATGTTTTATTAATTTAACTGAAAAAAAATAATTGCAATGTTTTTTATCAAATAAATTAGAGGCCTCGTTGTATGATGTTAATAATTCACTTGGAATTTCATTGAAAACAAATATTTAGTAACGTAACTTGGTTGCAATTACTTAACTCTAATCTAACTGGGTCAAACTATACTAAATTTTAAATCATATTTGGGTAATTTTTAAAATACATTTTAAAATAATATTTTCCAATTAAATTAAATATTTTTGAATTGTATTATAAAATGTTAACAATCATGTTGTCGGTCGAACGGGATGAAACCAAATCAATAACTGTGACGAACATAATAAATATAATCAATTAGTTGTTTAATACTTTTTAGGTACACTGATTTATTTAAAACAAGTATTACATTCTGTGTTACAGAATCTATTAAAAAAAATTAAAAAAACCATAAGGAAGCGACAAATGACAAAATTGCAGATTCTATAAAAACATATAGCTATAAAAAAAATTTAAAAACTTAAGCATAAAATTACATTTATTTAACATTTATAAAATATATAAAAATTATTTTTTCTCCTTCTCTGGGCAATTATTCTGGAGATGTGTTGTTGCTTTACATATATGCCATTCCTGAACAAACAGACTATTAGAGTGAACACTAAACTATTTGTAAATAATTTATTTTTTTCGACCCGACATTCAGCAAAGCGGTGGTTTTCAGCGTATCGGAAACACTTGTCTTAAAAAAAAAAAATGTATACTTGGTTGAAATTTTAAATGGTACATGTAATAAATCTATAAGCTGTGAACATAAAATTTAAGAAAACATTTTTTCGAGTTATGGCATTGTTGCTTACAAAGGCAGTACATATATATATATATTCTATATACATTTAAAACAAATATTTTTAAATAAATAATTTATTTTAAAACAATACACAACATTTGATTTCAGCAATTCTAAAAATAAATATCAAGTAAGTTACTCATTAGGGTTATCCGCTGTGGCCGTCGGGGCAGCCCAATTATTCCGGCCATAATGAACATAGAAATGCAATTATTATTAATTAATAACTAAAGCACGGTTATGTTTATGGCTTTGCATATTTTAATAGTGAAATCAGATTTACGCCTAAAAATAGGGTATAAATTCGATTCACAAAGACTATATTATTTCAAATCAGTAAACGTATATTGCATATACTTTCATATTTTGACTTATTAGAGGTTTACGCGTATGAGCTTAAGAAAAAGTTTAAAACGAAAATTCTAGTCATAAAATATTGTTCAAAATGTTTAAAATAATTATCATTGTTCTCTTATATTATTTTAAGTCACCATCATAACAAATAATTGTAATTCAATGTCATCCTAATACACATAATACCTTTTTGCAATAATCAACCGGGGAAAAATGTTATAATTAATTTGTGACAAGTCAGCTAACATTTTAAGCCGATTTCAATTATTTTATATAATTGCGTATTTTGATATTTTAAAATGTACAATATTATACATTTGTGGTCATTGGCATCCGCTGCTAGAAGTTAAATTTTTAATTGAATTTAAAAAATCGATTTTTTTTTTTAATGATAAATAAATAGTCAATTCTTTTAAAAGATTATAAAGCAGTAAGTGACTTTTTTACTACTCAGTCTCCTGATACTACACAATATATAGTATCAATATTAACATAGACGCAATTTCAATAAAAAAAATTGAGGGTGCTAAGCATCTGCATTTGCTATTGATATTAAATTAACGAGGTTAATGTTTTATTGAGCAACGATGTTGTTTATTAATTTAACAGTTAACACTAGTTTATTGGCATTTTTATTTTATAACAAAAAATAATAAAAATGTATGCAATATTGTAAATTATTTACAGGTATTTTACACAAGAGTTATAACGCTTTGGTTGTTCTGCAAATGTGTCAATAACTTTGTTCGTGTCAATTAAACGTATGTCATATCTTATTCTATTTATAATATTGTCAAAACTGCAAGTCTGTCCTGTCTCGTTGAAACCCTAAGCCGAATCTTTATTCTTCCTAAAGCTGCGAAACTAGCGTTCACAAGATGCAGACACCTAATGGGGGTAAGTGATAGCCACATGAAATTGATAAATCATACTGAACAATAAGTACTGTTATCGACTCTGCAAAAAGCTTTTGTATTTTTTTATATTAAACATTTTCACAAGTAGAGGTTTTAGTACATAAACAGGAAAAATATTAGAGGGAGATTATTTTAAAATTGCCTTGTGCAAATGCCCCTAAGCCGGGGGGGGCTAGTATAGAATATGGATAATGGGGGGGGGGGGCACTATCCATATTCTAATAATATGTATATTAAATATAAATAATAATAATAAATAAAGTATCATTAAATCTGAAAATAGTGTAAATTAAAAAACAATAATAATAAACTTACTGGAAGTCGTTCTTTTTTTGATATCGATATTTGCCCCAATGAAATTAAAGCATTATTAATTAGTGACTAATTACCGAGTACTTCCTTTATTGCCTTGTCGTCCTTTAATGTTTTATTTTATACTAAAAAAAAAAAAAAAAATTGTTCATTAGACATTTGGATTTCTTAATAATTATTGCTGTTAATACTGTCAACTAATTAAAAAAATAATTGTATTCAAAGGACCGGAAGTTGCTTAGTAGATATTATTACTAACAGTTATTAAAATAAATGTATAAATGGAAAATAAAAAATTAATTTTCCTTCATCGAGTTTGGAAAACACAACGGTAGTTTCAATGAATCTTATAAAAAAAAAATTAAAAAAACATAAAAGGGTTGAGTACAGTATTTTTAGAGATGCCATAAGACATGCTGCTATGCATGCCACATTTTACCGAGTAAATAAAATAAAAATAAATAAAATTTGATTATTAAATTTTGAATTTGTTTAGTGTTAAAAAAAGTGTGAGGAAAGTGTGGAGGACAAAGCCTCCACTGGCTTAAGTTTGTCTATCGGTGCGGCTTATGTATATCGACAAGATTATGTCAAAAAAAGACATGTAAAAAAATTTTGTAATTTTTTGAAAAGTCCTAAAATTTGATCGTAGTATAGGTTATTTAAAGTTTTATTTTTATTACTATTTAAAGAATATGTCTTCATACACATCCTAAATGGGAATCGTCTACAAGACAACATCCAAGCGCAAACATAAATAATTGTATACGTTATATAATATATGTAGTCTCATACAGTGCACATATTTTTTCAATCGTTATTATCGATTTGGCCAAAAAACAATAACAATGTAAACATATTATAAAGCTGGCCATTTTCCAACAACTAACTAACTAAAAAAAACCAACTATAATATGTAAGTTGTAACATAACGTAATGGAAACAAACCGTACGGTGAATCATTATTTAGATAATGCCAGTACAAAAGTACACAAGCGGCGTAAGCCGTTGTGGCTCGATACAGGCGACGCCTACAACATCGTTAATTTTCTTCCAACATTTACACACTATTACACACTACCTATATATTTTAAATACAATTACTATGCGAGCGCTTGGATAAATCTGGAAACTGTTTATTAAATTTGGATTGGACAAATTCAGAAATGAATTTCTATTAATGAAGCGCACAACGTTTGCTTCCAGCTCCGTGAGAATTCAATCGTACGTCGTTGTCTTAAAAAAAAAAAGTACAACAGTTTAGTAATGTTTTATCTTTAAATGTCGTTGTTTTTGTGATATTTGCAAGCGTAGCAATAGGAAAGTCGCTATTCAGGCATTAGTTTAACATTAAAAACACACACATTCACGTTAATTGTCATCTATTTTACACAGATTGCGTACACACGATGCTCGTCTACACACGAGTTAACGACTATTTTACAATTTGATGTCGCACAGGATTTTTGCAAAGTTAAATTGCCGGCTATTAACAAACACGACCTGAGGCCTAGCCTAACCATCGACCACCAGTATCAACATAAACCGTTGTGTATAATTATTTAAAATTATTATACAATTATATTTGTATGTTCTTATGTTAGATCTCACCTTGTGTCATCCAAACAAACATTTAGAAAGAAAGAAGAAAAAACAATTCAAGTAGACTTAGACCCATACTTTAGTATCGATTGTGTATAAAAAAACAATCGTTAGGTACAATCGAAAAGAACAAAATGAGTGGAAAACATTTTAATACAGAGCGATAATAGTTCATAATAAAATTTTGATTTTTTTCCAAAAGTTTACATTCAAATATAGGTGAATACTTTGTATGTACATACCTACCTATATGTGAATTGGATTGAAAATAAAATAAAACACATCCATACAAACGTGAGCATTCACGTTTGTTATGACTTATGGGTTATTCTACAAACGAGCATAATATATCTTATTATTATATCTACTAGAAAATAGTGTAAAATACTCATACCTATCCACACGGTTTCGGATGAAACAAATTGACATTGCTTGTATATTTTACAGTAATAATTGTCGACCATTTTACACTCGATATTAGTATTGTTGTAGAGAATATAACAAAAACAATTTCACTCGTCGTTAAAAATGAATTTCCGACACGACACCGTGTGGGGCTACTATGAATCTTTTACTGTCGAGTAGAATATTATTATGTACTTTTATTTGTAGTTCCAAAGTGTGTGTAATTGCCACACAATTGCACCGGCATTGCCACCGAGACGTGGTTTCGCTTATCATCATTCGTTCAAACCGCGACCAGACAGTACTATAGACCCGTAGAGCGTCCGGATCCGAATCAACAGTGGCGGAGAGGCCGTACGACGGTAACACGTTAAATAAACGTTCACGAGGCCTGCAAAACGGTTTTTGGACAAAATTTAACACCAACATTTTCAACAGCCTAGTAGGTCCAATATGCGAAAAACAATTACACGTAAAAGGTCGAACAGGACTTACCACATTGAACAATAATATCATTTTTCGATTTTAAATTATTACGACGTCGGTGTTTATCTTCGATGTGTATTATTGACGGGAAGCGATTTTCAAGTACATATACATTTATTTTGTTTTAGCTACATTTTTTGTGCAAAAACTGGTAAACAGCCAGTAGAGCAAGTCGCTGGCGTTATCTACTCGGTGTAACTGTGTGAAAATAATAATTGAACACTAATATTTTGTAACGAAAAAACCGATATAGGTCAGGTTAGGTTATACATAATTATAATAATATGAAAACAAAACAACTTTCTTAACAAATATCTTAAATGTAATAATCGTGCGTCCGACAATACGGATGTCGGAAAAACTATGATAAGTGATAACAATGATGATATGATAATAATATTATGACAGTTCTTAATTATTATTATAACCAACAGCAACAATATGGATATTAATCGAAAACAACAGCTCGAGTCCGTAGCCGTTTTTAGTCCAATATGGCGGTCACCGGCGGTGCCGTCGATCGGCCGACCCGTGTACTCTATGGTTTGTACCAAACGTCACGCCGGCGGCCGCCATATTGGACAAAAGCAACACGCTTTTCCGCGCGTGGGCAAGTTACCTGACCTGTTTATGGAATCGTGATGGGCGTCGGCCAGTTATCAGATGACCGTTATTGTTTTTTTTTTTTTTTACTTATTAAAAATTCGATTATGGAATCGAGTTTTGATTTTTAAAAACCAAACACTTTTCACGTTACACGAGGACAGTAAGTAAAGTACAGGCAGTTTTTCACAAAATCAATTAATTTAGAGTAATCCATATAGTGTACACGTCTTATTAGTACAGTAGTAACGAGGATACTTTATCGATTGCCGTTTTTTTTTTGTCAGACTCAAGACATTTCTATAGGATAAATTATTACAATTTGTTTTGCAACAATAATAAATCATTTGAATTTATTATTTTTTAACAATGCTCTAAGGCTTGATTATTGATTTCACTTACCCGTCTATTATTATGAAAATAATGACAAACAATTTTGTTATTTGGCGCTCACAACGATTTTTATTTGAAATTTTTGAGATTTATGTTTATTGTTCCGAGTAAATAACAGCTATTTTATTATTATTTATAATTAAATTCAAATAGACATTTTTACATTATTTAAACTTTAAAAACATATTTTTTTTGTGAAATTCGTTATTTACATTGGTTAAAATTTAAAAAAATGATTTCCTTTTTGAAATTTTAATTAAAATCAATGCCCAGCCGTTTGCCTAAGATTAAATGTCTTGGAGAAATAGAGAAGGGGAGTGCAGTGGCGTATTTAGGGGGTGTCCTGGGGGTTAACCCCCCCCCCCAATTTTTTTTCTAGTTCTATTCTCATTACTAAAGTAACGCAAAATATCGTTGACAAATGACGAACAATTTTTTTAAAACTGCTTTGAAAATTGAACAATTAGGCAAAATGTTATTTGAACTTCCGGTAAACGGTGAACTAGGTACTTCTTATTGACTAGGAAAATTCTTATTGTATTGTATTATCGTTTCGTGATGTCGGGCCAGCCGTATTATTATTATTGACTATCGCCTTATATTATCTTTCTTCGAATACAACAGCTGTCGTTATTATTGTCTACTATAGCAGCAAAGATATAAGTGTACAGTAGTACACTCCAAGTACCTACAACGATTTTATTTTCTGTTGAACTGCTGCCGACCGTTGACGTCAAATTTACACGTGAGTACAACACATTATAGTTAATATTTATTTTTCTAGCTCTATAATTTCCCCAATAAAAAATACAGATGATTCAACCACTCTCGTCTCAAAAAAAAAAACTATAGCTGTGATTCCACTAATGTTATGAATGTATGATGATATAGGATATAAATATAAACCGCGTACATTATCACCATATGAAATATCTGATATATTATGAATAATCTATGGATCATCCAGACATCAATTAAAAATTTCCAATAAAAATGTATATGAAAAAAAAAGCCCAAAATACGCCACCACTGGGGTAGTGTATTGACGCGATTGTGGTGGACAAGAGAGTAATATTAAATTTATGTTTTTTTTTCTAATCATAAGTGAAGTGGTGAAACAGAGGAAAACGGTGTGTAACATATTTTTGTTATGATAAAAAAATGTAGAGATTATTTTTATTAAATTTTATGTGGGCTTGTAGAAATTTTGATAGCTAAAGGATATACAGAGGTATGTCAGAACAAGGTTAATCGAATTTACCTTGTATGTTGGTAAAAATATATATATTATTCACGTGTTATTATACCCAACTTTCACACTGAGCATTGGTAACATTGTGTAAAAATAAACACACAAGTTTCTTTAAACTTCATCAACGCTTGGCACGTACCTACATATATGAATACAAATACATATTTATTCGTCATATTTATAAGAAACTAATAATCAAAATACAATATGCCGATGGTCGAAAAATCAATTTTTATATTTATTTTTAAAACGGAACCACAATAGAATGAGAGTTATTTATTCAATTGGATTAGTGTATATATATATAAATGCACGTCGACCAGAGCATCAAAAGTGTGTGTGTGGAGGAGGGCTAAAGTAGTCAAAATCGCTGTAGAGTTGTAGTCGTGATTTTGGAGGAAAAGTAATTTTACAAGAAAAGTATAATATAAGAAGTTTATGCTCGGATTCTTGTGCGATTGTGTTGACAATAACACTGTCGACGACGTGTGAAGGGCAGTTCTTCCAAAAAATGATAAGAGATAAGAGTTCTTCTAAAAGATAACACAATTTTTATTTTATCAGCGTGACCAACCCAGAAACACCAAAATATAAAATCACATTCTATCAGTCTGCCAATTCTATCAGAATAAAAGTAACTAACGACGGCCCGCAATTACCTATTATTGTCCGTCAGTTGTTATTGTTGTCTAAAAATGGAAAAAGCCGGTTTTTGATGCTACAAAACAAACACAATATATAGGTATATAATCCTACGCGCCGCTATCTATACGAACAACACACGATAATATTGGGTTGCCGCGCTTCATAATATTATTATTATATTTTCATCTACGCCAGAGGGGGTGTAATAGACATAGTATTATAGTAGTAGACAAGCTATAAAAAAAGAACTGGTATGTATAAAGATCTTTATCGTCTTTATAGGTCTACGAATAGGAAGCGGTAATAGGCATTTGCCGGGGTCACAAAGTCGGGTTCATAATATTATTATTATCATCATTATTATCATCATCGTTAAATGTTGTTGATAATAATCATATATAATGTATTATTATATTATGTTTTCACCAGACAGTGCGCGATAAACCGGTATATAATATAAACAATCAAATAAAAATATCAACGCCCTCCGACCCTCCGCCCGCCCTCGCCCCGTTAATTGGTTACTCCGTGGTAACCGCTGTGGTTACCGCGCAACTTTGGGCTGGTCACCGGCGGCCACGACGGCCTTTTGTTCTACCGCACCTAATGGCCGAACGCCCCCCCCCCCGTTAATAACAGGGTAATGTGTAGTAGCTGATATTATCCATGCGAAGACGTGTCTTTCTTTCTCTCTCTCTCTCTGTTCGTTCATGTGTTCGCTGTTTGCACACCACTGTATAGCCGTTTTTCCACGACGACCAAACGACTATACATTATTATTATTAACGTCGTGATGACGACCGTCGGTTTTCGCTACCAAACGTTTATAATGTTATCGTATCTATTGTGTATAATGTTGTAAAAAAAACTTTTGCGAGTAAGTGTTTTTTTTTTTTTTTTATAAAATAATACCTACATTATTGTATCTGTTGCCGGTAAAAAGTACAAAAAAAGCGAATCAACAACTAAACGGTCGCTTCGGACTCTGTGTAGGTAGGTGGTACACTTTCTCCGTACACTCGTTGCACACACTCGCCTATTTATATCCAATAATTATTGTGTTTGTATAGTTTATTTTGAAAATTCAATACTATCGGCTCGTTGTAATATTGAAATTTTGGAATAACGAGCTTTTTGTGTATGAAAATCAATGTGCGCATGAAAAACGTCGTATACAAGTCGTTTGTGTTGTTTCATAGTGTTTTCTATTTTTTTTTTTTTTTTGCATATTTTATTGCAGTTGCTTCTTTTTTTGTATACTTAAAAAAAAAATATACAAGACTTTCTAAATGTGACTCCGTTTTGACCCAAAAATATGTAAAATTTACACTAAACGACGAGACCCAATAATTGTTGTGCGTCGAATGGAATTTGGATTTTCGTTTTTGTTCCAGCCGAATCCACGACCACCGCCGACGATGATGTCTACAACGACGAGTCAAGCGATGCGAGTGATGGACACGCAACGTTTGCCGGCCGTCCGGTGGCCGTGCAAAACGGCCGGAGAAAAACTCGGCGGTCTCGTTGCCGACGGCCTGTACGCGTGGTTAGCCGTCCGCGCAAACATTGTTCTGTACTCGAAACGCCTGGGATCCGTCGTGTCGTCCAGGACGTTTGGCGACAACAAAGATAAATCGTTCACGGTGAGTGTACACGTCTTTGTTGTGTGTGTATAATAATATTCTCGTCTGTTGGTCATTGTAAAAAAAAAAAAACGCCTACTATTATAATGGTAAATAGTTAATTTTAAATACACAGTAACACATGTATGTCTACACTACAACGAGTAGACGTGAGGCGGCCCCCTAGTTTAGATAATTTTTTTTTTATGAGAACCCACAAGGGGAAAATACCAATTTTTTGTGAGGGCCGCCTTCTTCTTCTCGTCGTAATCGAACGAAACTAGGCTCTGTAAAATTTCCTTCCCAATTTATACTAATTATATTACTACCGCTACTGCTGCTGCTGCTACTAACACTAAGAATTGATTGAGTAACAATACTGGGCGGCCGCCACAAACAAATTGATGTACTTAGTTTTTACCGCGCAACAGCTGTTAGTTTAATTTTTACCACCCATATAACCCGATAAGAGTATGCTTATTGGCGGCGGTACCTATCTATTTCAACATTCAATCAGAATTTTTTTTTAAAACCAATTTTAAAACAATTTTTTTTCAAAGCAACTCCTGAAAGCCCATTTGGAAACCGTCTGTGGTTCTATTTTCTACTTGGCTAAATTTGTTTACCCAGCTCTTTCTTCTTGCTGTGTTCTTTAAAATTTACTGTCCGACATTCCGCCTCTTTTTATTTTATCCCCCTAAACGGCTAGGTTTTCAAATAACGGTTAGGCTAAAAGGCGTTAGCCTTGTGTAATAAAATATCTTTAGTAACGATAGTTATGAAAACTATCGTTACTAAAGATAAGGTAGCCTTTTAACTTGAGAATATTTATTCAATTTTTTTTTTTTATTGGTTTGAATTTAATTTTGGGTGTTCCCAATCAGTAGTTTACGTAGGTATTGGTAGTTTTATTTCGTGTCCATCTGCTTAGAGTAAATATTGTACATTAAATAAATATTATGTCAATATACAATCGTAACAATTGTATATGTATGAAAATTTACAATTGACGGTTTATAAAAAATTATTATTACTACAGGTAATGTGCAATATTGAACCTAGGGGTTTTTACACTGTTAAATTGACAAATTTGAAGTCATAGAAAAACATTTTTTAATTATATACAACAAGAAAAACTGCAACTTAACTGGACAACCCCCTAACCGATTTTGCATGATTTTTTTTAGTTACTTCAAGCTATCCTCAAATTGTATATTCATAAACTATTGTTTGTGTGTGTGTGTGTAACTGAAGTTGGGCCCATTTTATTTTATAGACTATATTTATATATATAATGGAAAATATGGCTCTGCAGTACACTTAAATGTTTTTGTGTCAGACAAATTGGCCATTCTGGTAGGTACGTTTGTACAAATTTGTCGGTCTAGTTGCAGTTATTGTGTATTTTCACTGTCGTTTCAACATTTCAGCGCGCTGGCTGATGTGTATGTGTATGTACATACATCCATCTGCTGTACGTGTACTAACAGCTATACCAATCGAGTTGTACAAATTGTTACCATCGTAGTTATTATTATTATTAATGTTACCCTCGTTGTAAATGTTTTTCTCGAAACAACAACGTACATCTCATAGGTGGAACAACACACAATTTAGTTGATTTTTAACTTAACACGTGTACACATTTTTTGCTTTCCAGATTACCGACGTGAAAGAACTGAATTACGGCCAAGGAAAATTGCATTTACTACTGGTGGGCTGTTCGCTTAAAAGCACCGGACTCGTGTACGTGTGTCGGCTGCCGGCGTTGACTACGATTCGCTGTATCGCGTTACCGAATCCGGTACGTGAGAGTAATATTGTGTTTATAAAATGAGTTTTTTTAAAACGATCGTAGTATTATCGTTATCAAATACCTGGTGCATTATATAAAGTGTAATATATTATGTTATCAGTATGTATATAAATTATCAACAAATAATACTAATATTATGTTATTATGTATAATATATATTATTGGCGCTTTATCTTATTGTGCATTATTTGACTTTTGTGTGTGTGTGCTGCAGGTGACGTACATAACGACTATTAAAAATGACGAATTATTCTACGACGCCGACCAACTTTGCGACGAGTTAAAGATAATGTCTACCGTACTGCTGGTGGGCATGGCCACGGGACAAGTGTACGCCGTCGATCTTCGACACCGTCACATAGAACACCGTGAGAAGTTTGAAATCGCCGCGCGGCAACGTAAAGAGTTACTAATTTTTCTGTCCGTTTGTTTTCAGAATTGGACAACAACGAAATTGTCGTCAACGAATCGCGACCGAGCCAGTTGTTTGTCATCCGTAAGAACGAAGACTGTCAGGAAGTGAAAGAGATGAGCGACGACCGCGACTGTCACCTGGCCATGTTCATAAACGGTACGCGGTTTCTTTTCACGCCACTCACACACACACACCGACACGATAATATATTATTATCAATAATATAATTTTTTGTCCGTATTGCGCGCAGAAAATTTCCACGATTATTGTAAATACAACGGAAAACTGCGTATGAGCGTCACCAGCGTGCTGTACGTCGAAGAGACCAACACTGTCGCCATCGGTTATTCCAGCGGTCATTTGCAGCTACGCGATTGTAAAACAATGCGTACCATGTACGTATGCCACACACGCACGCGAGTGTACTCGTTAATAATATTATCCTTGGCGTTATTCTATGTATATGTGTATATTTTTTGTATTAACATCTGTATAAAAGTATTTTATCTATCTAACCGATCGACTTTGTCTATTAGATACGTTCTAAGAGAGCCACAGTGTAGCATGCCTGTAACTCACATTGGCTTTATCGAACCGTCCGACGACCCGAACAACTTGTGCTATCTCTGGGTCGTCCAGTCGGACAACGTCAGACTTCCGTTGGCCACGATGATGGCGCTAATCTTTGAGCAACGCGTCATAACGCCAAACGGACGTTCGGCGTACCGTGTAAGTGGTGGTTCAAGCGTTTCGATATGATGATTTAATGCAATTCTCTGTGTCATTTTGTTTGTTGTGTATAACTGTGTATTATATTCCACTATTGTGTGTTGTTGTTGTTAATTGTTGTATGTTGATGTGTGTGTTTTTTTTTTCAGGCTTACCAAGGTCACGGTGTAAAACTAGAAATGTCGTTACAGCGAGAGACGGGTTCTGGACGGTGTGTATCCGCTCTGTCCGTGTGCAATGTAAATATGGCCAAAAACGAAACTGGTAATTTTTCTTAACATTATATAGATTTTTTTTTTTTATAAATACAATGTTTGCACACATTTGTCAAATTTGTACAAATAATTTTTATCAAACACTAACCGAGTAGGTATTTTTCAGTTGAATAAACAGCTGTCGTAATGATATATACGATTAGTTTTATCGTAATTATTTTTATTGTTTTTACTTATATATATATTTTTATTGTTTTTATTTTAGACATGGACGAAGACTGTGAAATACGGCTTTTCGCCATGCTGATGGAAATACGACAGAACGGCAGCCCAAAATCGTACATGTTCTTGTTCGACATCAACCAGTGGTACAAAGCGCAAATGCCGCCCATCATCAGCCATCTGAAAGTGTCCAACTCGTACGCCAGTTTTGTACAGCTGCCGCACAACGACGCGCGCCACTTGGATTTCACTATTGCCCCCAAGACGTTACGGCCGTTTTGCACCAATTTCAGGGACGGCGTCGAAGAACTGTACTATCCGTCTTCGATTTACTTTGGTACCGTGTATATGTTACTCACTCACTCACTGATTATTATTACAACTGCTACTACAAATATTATTCACTTACACTAACTACTACTTATTGAAAAAAAAAAAAATAAATAACAATTGCAATTGTTTACTTTAACGTTAACGTTTTTATCGATCGTTGCATTTCCAGAGTACGATTGTCTGTTGGACACCGAGCTCGTTCGGTTGAAACACGCCGGAGTGCAACAACAAATACTAGATCGTTTGGTGGAGAAAAACTGGAAGTTACTGATCAATCCGAGTTTGGTGTTTGGCCAATGCTTGCAAGCCCATCTGACGCCATTTTTCTGGGATAAACCCGACGACTACGTCGACTATAGTTTGGTGAGGATCTTTTACAGGGAATATGTCGTAAAATTTATATAATTGTTTTTTTTTTTAAACTATCATTATTGTACAAGACCACAATGTGTATATAATATACTATATTGGATCTAGTTTGTGTTTTGAAAATAATTATATATTTTTTTTCTCGTTTAAACGTTAGCCGGATCAGAGGAGTTTCGTCGTATCCGTATTGGTCGAAAACAAAATGATGTCCGTGTTGAGCGCTTGTGCCGAACAATGGAAAAACGGAACGTACGGCACGAGCGAAGTCACCGTGTTGCATTTAGTGCAGTGCCTTTGGAATCACGTCATGATCGTCAAACAGTTTGCCGATAAACTATGTAAGTGTAAAAAAAAAAAACCTACGTATATAGTCTATACATATACTAGGTTGTACCAAAAGGTTTGTTCTCTTGACATTATGTTCCTAGGGGTAAAATAATATTTCCCTATTTTTTTTTCAGATTTTTAAAATTATTTTTAGAGGTTGCAATTTTTTTTGTAGATTTTAATTTTTTTAAGGTATAAATATCAATTTTAAACAAACTTGGCTTGTATACAAAATCATTATTAGAAAAAAAGCAATAAGCCAGTATTTTTAATAATAATGAAACTTCACATTATGGAACTAATGTCAAGGGAAGAACAAAAAAAAAAAAAAAACATTTTTTTTCGGTACACCCTAACGTATACGTTTATTATATATATAGCCTAAGCCTATGTGTATGTAGTATCAAATATTATGTAACCTACGTGTATGTATGTCTTTCAGGCGTACCGCTGTTCGATTATTCCGGAACCCAGATGGACGGAAAAAACAAACGCGTACTCAAATATTGTTTGTCGCAGATGCAATGCGTCAAAATTTTTTTACAAGATTTACACAGCAAATACGGCGTTCACACCATTACTTATAACAATAGTAATAACAATAATAAAAGTAATAATTGTGAAAAAGTTATTTTTACTGCATACACCCACTGCCCACACACAAGTGACACTAACACATATTTTAAATTACATATTTTCGACTAATACGTACTGTACAAATGTTTTGTTGTTGCAAAACGTTAGAGCGTTAAGGTTTTTTTTAAAAAAAACATTTTCCAACACAACCCACGGCGTTAACCGTGACATGGTGTTTTACGTTGCAGGCGATTACACCCATCGCGTTTACACGCTCAACCTGGTCACTCAGTACTTCAAAGCGGTCACGTGTTTTGTCAATTACGGCCTGCTGCCCGAACGGTGCCTCGTGGATAACCCACACCGGCAGACGGTGCAATACGATTTTGCTGCGTTAAGGGATTACGCCGATAAAAGGTGAACCGTACGCAATAACAGTATAATAGGTGGAAATATAGTATTATAATAAATAATAAATAATAATACAACATTTTTTTTTTTAAGGCGAACCGAACTTGGCAACTCTCAGTTGTATTTGATCGACGCCATAGTCGGTCACGAACGCCGCGGTTCGAAACTGTACGAACAGTGGCAGAACGAGGGCGGCCAAGCGACCAACGGCATGTATCCGCCGGCCAACGTACAGTGTTTGCTGAGAATATACTTGAACGCCGCCCTGTCCGACCTGTTGAAAAACTACATCACCGTGTATTTCCTGATAGACGTGTGTTCCACAAAAGAGTGAGTACATACGTATATAATATAAATTGACAATATTGTCGTCACGACAAGCCGACATAGAATTTTGTCTATGCGTGTAAAAATTGTAACCCGTCCATCGTATGAAATCGACTAACTTTTATCGAGTAAAAACATACTATCGGTTTAACCTGACCAATATTTTTTTTATATTCTATTTTCAATTGTATTTTTTTTTTTGCAGTCTCGATGCGAACGTCGCGAATCGTATGTGTAATTTTGCCATCGAATTCGACGTGGAAAACGTTATGTTGAACACGCTTTGTCGAGCGAGCTGGCTTTTGGATCACGACATGTTCAAGGTAAATTCGTACGTACAAATATAACGGTATATTGATATTAGCCGATAGGTAACGCACTAGTATATAGTAATAGTAATACTATTGTGTTAATGCATTTTTTTCCTAGTAAAAATTATTGCTTTTATACTCGATTTGAATTTGTACGATTTCTCTGCAGGAAGCGATGGAAATATTGTCGAGCGACAAAGATTGGGCGGCGTTGACCAAAGACAAATCTTGGCGTTGGTTTCATTGGACCGTCGCGAAATTGCTGGTGTTCAAGGGAGAGTATTTTTGGGCTAGATTCTACACGAAGCTCGTCGACATCGACTTGACCGACGTTGATGACCACAAGTAAACAGCAGTTGTGATTTGTTTCTGAATGTTCATTTTTTTTTTTTTAGTATTTTAATACAGCTCTTTATTTTTATTTGTTTCGTTAGATTTTATATAAATCTTGAAATCATGAACAATCAGTGTTTCGAAGCGTTACGACACATAAGGAAGCGGTCGGCCGAAGAAAAACCAATATTGTTGAGATACTTATTCGACAGTAAGAGCAATAACGCGTTAACAATTCTTTATTATATTATATTGTACTCTTTCTCGGTTACGGTTTACAATGTATTTTCAATTACACTATTTATTTGTGTGTGTGTGTACTTGTATACATAAGTATACTTGTATAGTTTTAACGTATGTGTACTTATATCGTACTTGCATCATTTTACCACCACCCTGTAGGATGTAAAGAAATCGACAAGTTGAGATGCTTGATCGAACTGCCGTGGGAGTCGCACGAAGAAGACGCGTTGTACGTTTATCTGAAGTCCGTACCGGACGCGGCCAAATCCATGTCGATGAAAATGTTGTTTCTGTTACAAAGAGGAAGGTAATAATGGTATTAATGGTATATTGCAAATAAATTGCAACGAATTTTCCATTTTTTTTTTTCCAACATTAAAAAATTGTGCCTGTGAAAACCGACCGACCGCATTGCGTTGCAGATATTCCGAAGCCGTCGAATACAACGTGTCTTTGACCGGAACGTTCTACGAAAGCACCGACGACGACGACGACTTGACAATAGTTGTCAGTTCATTAGTGGACGGGTTCGATAGAGATGTACCGAAAAAAATAGTGCCTCGGTGTCTCGACGGATTTTCTGCGAGAAACGTATACAAAAAGACCGGTCAGTATTTGTTTTTGAAATTTTTTTTTTTTATTGTAAATCCATTGTTGTTACATAAAATAAGTATTACATAAATAACAATGAGAGATTATCAAGCTTGTGTTGAAGGTGGAGAGCGACAGTTTACTTACAAATAATAATTGAATAATAATGAATGAAAAATAAAAATAAAATACCAAAGTGTACACGATAACTACTTGTAAACGTATAAATAACTTATTCTAAGTTCAATAATAACCAATTATTAATAGTTATTTTAACATTTTTATGTTTGTCGATTATATTCTTTTCAATAATAACAGGCATAGAATTAAAATAAGTAGGACCCAGGTGGTCCACGAATTTTTGACCAAAAGCTTTTTTTAAAATACATCATTTTAACGTCGTATGCCTAATGTTCACTTTTTGTTTTTTTCATTATTTATATTTCTCCGATTATCTGTATTCTTACCTACCCATAAAATTTTTTTAAATAGTAAATCCACAGGTAATACAAAGTTTTCGACTTGTTGAATCTTCAAGAGTAGGTTTCTGTAAACATATTCGAACAATTTGTCTTTGTTGGATTAATAAAGGTTTTAGAGCGTTAGCAGAAAGGCCTCCCCAAATAAGTAGACCGTATTGCATTAATGCTTGATATAATGCTAGATATACTGTTCGAACAACTTGCATTGGTACTACTGTTCTTAATTTGTAAAAATTATTGTTATTATAGTATTGTTGTTTACTGATGTTTTTGTATTTCACAGTTATTGTATATTAGTAAGTTACAACGTTATAATTATTTAAAAAAATGTTCCGGTATCCTTACCTAACCTAACTGGTTCGTCGAAACTAAAATTTATATTGTCATGTTTTTTTTTTTTTTTTACCAAATCGATTCAAATTATTTGATATTTTTTTTTAATATTTATTTCAACTCGACTCAATAAAGGTAACATAGTTTAAACAATGGGTAGGTGTACTACATAGATAATATAATACAAATGAGTCGTTTACCCCCCTCTCTTTAGGCAAGCTTGTGTTGAGAGGGGGAGTCTTCCAACATATTAAATATAAATATAAATATATAAAAACATGTATATACAAAAAAAAAACCCATAAAATTTAGCAAAGATAATACACGATGACAAACATTTCGTTTAATTAGAATATATTAACAAATAACAACAACAAGCGTTTCTGGTAATAATTAATAATTGTAATAATTATTACAATTCATAGTAATTTGTTGTTTATTTTTTTTTCAGACACTGTTTTAAAACGTCTAAACTCGACCAGTAAATCGTTTAATGTTCTGGACAAAATCCGAGCAAACACTTTAAAACTGTCAAATTCGTCTCGCACTCTGTTCAGACCCAAAAAGTAAGAAGAACAATTATTATTATCTCTCCTAAATGAGGCGCGCTCAGATGCGCCAAACCGGTTAACTACACCTTTTTTTTTCTTTTTGAATTGCCAATAATAGCACGGTTGGATTGACAAAAGTGTACAATTTTTTGAGTGGCCGAGATAATTTCATTTTATGGAGTTAATCACACACAGTTTGGCTTTCGAGAGCGCCTCAAATCGTGTCGTTGCAAAACTAAACGTTTTCGATTTTTTTTTTTTTTTAAAGCGATACAAACGCAACAAAGAGTTTGCTGTTTGGCAATAAATGTGCGCTTAAAAGATTGTCCAGTGACGACGACGACGACCATGAATAACGAGAAACGTAGAAGAATCGACGACCACCGCGACCGTTTGCCTTGTACACCTAGTGTTAACCGTGCACCTGTATACGGCGAAAGAGACCTGGAAATACTGGACACTCCGTTGGTGGTGAAAACCACGCCGTCGCCTCTGGTCACTGGCTGCTATTCGTCGATACTCAAGGTACTTGACAAAATAACTAATAATATAGAATCTGCGGACAGTGTGTTCAGACCAGTTGGAAGCGGTTCAGAAGATATGGTTGGGCCAGCAATAATGTACCTACTTGAAAATTTAACATTTAGTCTTGTGCTGGGTATGGATACGATCGAAGGGTTGATCGTCTGTCTATAAAAATGTACTGTCATACACTTTTACTACATCTGTAAACACTTTTAACGGGTAAAGGTGATAGGCTCTGGTTAGATGCTGGTATAGTCACCACCTCCTCTTGAACAACGATTTTTGCAACAGCTAAATTACTAATTTCTTTTTGGCAGATCGGTTGTGTACTGCGACTATATTATATTATCAGTCTCCTCTTTTTGTACTTTTTCAATGATTTCTTCAATAATGTTTTCCACTACTGAGGGTGCGACTACATTATTATTCCAGGCTTGCATAATGACCAGTTTCCCGAAGTGTCAGTTTTTGGTATTTTAATCGGAGGATAAATAAAATATCTTCACCTCAGTACCATCACACTCGTGTGGTTCATCGCTTAAAAATGGTTAATCAATAATAATAATTAACAATATAATGAAACTATTTTCATTACCCGTTGACTGTTGATGATTAACTCGCACGTAGCACCCTAGAAAGTCTGACTAGCGGTCAAATAGGGTAAATTTACCCTATTTTTGGTGTTTTTCCTTAATTAAAAAAAAGACAGATTTTCGAGAAAATTGTATATAGATCCATTTTAGATCTACCTTCGGTCTAATTTTCAGATCTAAACCTTTAAAACTTTGCTCGAAAAAGTGAAATAAAGATAAAAAAATCTATCCCTTCTTGCGCGGGGAAAGAATGCTTTTTACAAATTTTTTGAAAAAAAAAAAAAATCGGCCTTTTAGCCACTCACAAAGCAGATGACATGAGTTCCCCTCAAAAGTGGTATACCTCGTAATAAAACTTTGTAGTTCATAATTTATAGTTTAAGTTTATGGTATTTTTTTTTCGTTTCAAACACAATTAATACGTTTTTTTTCCTCACAGACTAGCGGATCTGTAAATAAACGTTTTTTGACAACAACGGGCAGTGATAAATACGCGTCGAAAATGACTTTGAGATTTAGTCTACCCAACGAACAACGGTATGAATTTTATATAGCAATTAATATAATATATAAAACTCTATAGTATATAATAATAATAATAATATACTATAATATAGACTGTTTATTGCAATTTTTGTTTTTCCTACCGATTACCCTTTCAATCTATAGTAGCCCTATAAGCTCGTTAGTTATCGATAAGAAATGCCGTCAATTAAATTAAATTTCACATTCCTAGCTCGAGTACTTTCTCTTGAATTTTGTTCGTGTTTGATTGACATGGGTAGAACTTACATTTTTAATTAAAAAAATTCAACATTTTTTCTTCGTTTTCAACGTTAAATGATATGACTTGTAAGTCCGTCCTTTGATGTTTCGAGGTAACATTTTTTTTTTTTTTTAAGCCCATCTTCAGTATTATTTTGTTTATATATATACGCCATGACAGGCATTTAATTATATTATAAGTACAGACTAAAAGGAAGCGTACAGTGGTGTTTGCTTAACATTTATGGATGTGATGACAATTAATAGATAAAAGTTACCAGGACTAGACTTGGAGTTCAACACTAGGCTTATAATAATCAGTTTCAATGGGACTTGTAACTTAATGAAAACAATTTTTATCGTGCAATATCAAGAAAGCGATCTCCGAGTGTCATATTTCAGCTTTAAAAAAAATTTTTTTTTTTTATTTAAATAATTGTGTAGAGTTAGTTTTGTTATTATTTTATTGTAAACAATTTTCAAGTTGGAATTTTTTTATTGAAAAATTAAAATTTCCCATGTTGATCAAATGAAAAAAAATCACAAGTACTCAGAATGAAGCTAGGAGTGAGCAATTTTAATAATTTCTCATTCGAATAGGCTCACTTTCTATTGGGTATCTAATTAGTAATTTTATTTTAAGACAGTAATATTAAATTTTGTTTTAACATCCTATTAAAACAGTTGCTTTGTTTTTTATATATCATAATTTGTGTGGGAAAAAATACCTTAGGCGGAAAAAATACTTTATACAATATAATACTAACTTTCTTTACTTGTGTTTTTCTCCAGGGATACCGCCGTAGAACGGGTGGACCCGACAAAAGACGATAGCCATAGCCTCGGGACGATTAATAATAATAATAACAACAACAACATTGTCATCGTTGAACAACGGGAAATCGAAACAAACAGCGAAGAAGACGATGCACAAACAAATAGCGGCGATTGCTGTGTGGTGTACGACCACCAAACCAACGATTGCACAACCGGCGGTGTTCCGCCGTCTTGGCCGGAAGAAAAACCGGAAATAATCAACGACGGCGGCTGCGATGAACAAATGGACGTGACGAAAGATTATACCGTGGTGGTGCAGCAACACGGGTCCGATATCGATGTGCCGTCGTTCACCGCTCCCGGTGACGCCGTGATGATGTCATCGTTGTTGTCTACCATATCTATTGGTCCGGCACATAGCTTGGCGGCACCGGAACAATCACATCCGGAGTTTACAGCAGGCGGTCTTCATCAAACACCGGAAGAACCGCCGTCGTCGTCGCCAAAGCCGTTGGAACAAAAGCAGCCGTGCGACACGCGGTCGGACACGGTTGCTACTGACTACCAAAGCGGCGATTCGGTCCGTTTGAACGCGTTTGGAGACCAAGACCAAGATGCAGCGATTTCGTCAAATTCCTCCGACAGCATCTCCGACGACGACGATAGCGATAGCGACCAGGACACGACCAGATACGGTAGATTTAAATATCACGGCAGCGCTGCAGCTACGGACGAAAACTGCGGAGAAGAAGAAGAAGAAGAAAAATACATAACGACCGTTGAATTGGATCGACCTACAACGTCGTCGTATGAACCGTCGCCGCCGCAATCGGACCAAGACGACGAGCCGTTGAATTATTATTCGTCCGAAGACGAGTCGTTGAACTATTCGTCCGAAATCGAAGAACGCGATGACTGGGACGAAGAGCAGGAGCAAAGCGTAACACCGGCCTCTGAGTACACCGCCAGAAGATCGGATAGTGTTGAAAACGAAGCTGACCAATCTTGCAGTCAAGAAGTGTCAGAGTCCAACACGGTGGAAGATGTACACGACGTGGTGGCGCCAAAAACAAACCCTATTACGGTCTTCAGTAGCTTTAACCTGGCCCATTCGAATATCGGCCACCGACAAAAAGATGATGATGATTTGCCGGGTACGGTCAAAGCTGATGTAGACGATAGCGACGACTGCACCACCGCCGCTACCACTTTGGGCGAAGTCGAAAGCGAAGAAACGGACGATTCGCAACCGACGAGGATGGTGGTCGACGAGCAGCAGCAGCCGCCCAATTCGTTTTTGTTCGGTCAACAACGGCGCGCAGAAGACGCGTCCGACGACAACGACAAACCGGTATTTCTTTTCGGTCGGGTATACGCGTCCCAAAGCGATACTACCGCTAGTGCCGATTGCACTACTACTAGTACTTGTGCTTCTTCTACTACAGTTACTGGCGATTGTGCGTCCGACTGTAATACCAGCGAAACGGAAACCTTTACCATCGCCTCCACCACCGCATCCACCGTCAACACCCTGGTAAACGCCGAAGAAACGGAATCGCAAGATACGATTCCGTATGGCCGCGTGGACGACGACGACATCAGAGATATTGTCGAACTCAAGTCTTTACCCGACGATAGTACTTCGGATGACGACGGCGGTACGATAACGCCGCACAATGCACGTTCGAGATCATCGTGTAGCAGCGTACATTCGGAGGAGGAGCAGCAGGAATCGTCGAGTTTCAGATCGAATAGTTTACAGCCAGAATCGTCCACCGGCGGTGCAGAGCCGCCTAGAATTGTTGAAAACTCATCGTCCGAGCAAAACGCTGCTTCGCAACAATTATCGCAACCAGATGCGGCCGAAACGACAAATGTTGATAATATGATGGTCCACGATACCAGCGAACCGTTTGTGTTGCTCGTTAATTGTGACTGGCAAACAACCGGCGGCGCGGTGGTGGTGGTGGTGCAGTTGAAGAACCGCACGACGACCTCGACGGTAGCCTTACGAAATCGTGTCCTTTGTCGTCGACGATGGTGGAGACTACGGAGGATGATGATGTTGCTACGAAGAAAAGAACAAGACGGCGTGCGGCTAGCGAAGACCGACAACAACCAGCTACTATGACGACGACGCTGCGGTCGAAACGCGCTAAAGCCTTGACCGTTTGCCCTTGCCAACTGTGGCCGTCGACCCGCGAGAGGAGCAGCTCGTCACACGGTAAAAACGACCACCGCAGGACTGCAACGAAAAAAGCAAAAAGCAGCAGCAGCGGCGGAAACACTACAAAACTTCGGCCTAGATCCGCCCCGGTCGCTGAGCTCGAACGAGAGGTCGCCAAATACTTGTCGTCCAAGAAAAGCAACGGCAAGGGTGATTCCTCCTCGGGCAGCAGCAGCGGTGTCGTCGATCACGCGGACGTACACAAATTGACCAGCTCTTTCGTCTTGTTAAGCAAACTTCCCACGACGCCTGTCCCGGAAACGGAACAGCAGGAGGAGCCGTCGAAAGATAGTGAAAAAACGGCAATTCAACAGCCGGTAGATGATGATATTTTCCGGTTGTTCGCAGACTGTAGCCGGCAGAGGAGAGTGTCGTTGTCGTCGATGAGCAAAAGCCACGAAGACCTCGTGGCCGGCGACAAACGTGCACAGCCGAAACGCAAAAGGTTGCGTTCCAAGTCGTTGACGCACGGTGAAGCCCAACACGAAGCCAAGAAGAGACAACCCGCGTTGGAGCAAATACCCGAAGAAGATACGGCGGGGGGACAGCGTGTAATGGCCGTCGCAACGACTGCCAGCAGACCCAAGTCGAAATTTAATTTCAGCGCCAAAAGAAATGCGAAGAAAAACCACCGACAAAGTCTTAGTTGCACCGATTTGAAAGTTTCCTCCGACGACGACGACAATGAAAGCCACCGCCGGTCGAAGTCGTCGACACAGTTAAAACAAGCTACTGCTGCTGCTGGGAAACGACTGATGATGTCGTCCTCCTCGTCCTCATCTGCTGCTAATGTGGAAAAAAAACCAAAACTAACCGCCTCTGCCGATACGCCTACCACAACTACCAGATACGTCTTGGACGACAAACTGGAGTGCGAAAGCGTTAAATCGACAACGAGCTCCTCCAACGGATGCTCTGCCAGTTCCAGACAAATGACGACCCGATTGATGAGCAGAATTCACAGTTCCGTAGAATCCGACCAGTCCGCCGTGGAAGCGACCGACGACGACGACGAAAATCCCAGGTTAGCGTTGTACAACACTCTGCGGTTAGCGTATCTCACACGTAGACATCAGTCCGGTCCCACGGGGCTTACCCGCAGACCGGACCGCAAAAGCCTCCGGACCGTTTGCCCCCGGGTCGCTCCGGTAATCCAGTCACTGGCTACAATTTGTATAATTGATGATATCCGGTTAGGTGTCTAGGTTGTGTGCAGTATTTGATAATAACTATTTGTTGTTTTTGGTCCCGTAAAATTTAAAAAAAAAATTGATTCCTAGGGCGGTCCGGTCCGGTCCGAATAATTAGTATATATTTTTTTTAATTTTACGGTCCGGTCTGGCAAGTAGTATAGTTTTTTTTTTTAGTTCCCAGTGTTGAGCATTATTTATATTTAAATAAAATATTATTTAAGAGAACGCCACACACACTGTCTGTCAACGGTTTCTGAAATAAAAATCAACTTGACTAAACTATGATTTGAAAATAATCGATTTTGATCCATTATTTTTAGCAATTCCTTTAGAGTATATTATTCTTATTTGACCCCCAAGTAGATATTTGTTGGTTTGAATAACAACATTTGAATTTTTATGTATTTCTCTGTTCATGCATTGTTAATCTTGACCAAAGCATACATATATGCATCTATGTATATATTAATATATGTATATGTAATGTTTAAAATATATTGAGGACGTCGCACCGCCTATTTTTAAGGAGTAAAGTATAGGCAATTTTTCACAAAATCTTAATTTATAGGTTAAACAGTGATGTGTAACTATTAGTTCAATAACTAGGACTCTATTTTGATAGTTAATTTATTTTTCGGACTATCGCAGCATCCTTGAAAGCGATTTAAAAATGTTTTTTCATCTCTACATGTTTACAAGTAGACTGAAAATAACTCGCTTAATTTTGGTTTTAGAGTAAAAGCACCCGTTATAAAATTAAAAGAGAACAATATATTCTGGAGGGCAAGACGGTGCGCTTTTTTCATTATTCCAAGTATAACGCTCAATACATAGTTTAGAAATAACGACTATTTTAACATTTTTAAATGACTGTAACTTTTCAAAAAAATAATTTTTTTAAAAAAACGCACCGTGTCTTGCCCTCCTGAATATTGTTCTCTTTTAATTTTATAATGGATGCTTTTACTGTAAAACCAAAATTAAGCGAATTATTTTCAGTCTGCTTAAACATGTTTTTACCACTGAAAATCACCGGTGCGACGCCCTCTTAAAACAAATATTTAAAAAAAAAAAGTTTTTACTCGTAGAATAAATGATTTAAATTATAAAAACAATAGCGTTGAAGCAGCTTAATATACAAATTTACCGGTAAATTGATTTTGCATGGTCCAAATTTATTAAAACCGCTGTTTTTTTTAAATATTGTGTCTATGCAAAACTACTTAAAAAACAAACCGCGTGCAATTCTTAGCGTGTTGACTATTTCAATAATATCAATTTTAATTATTACACAATAGTAAATATAGTACGCTTTGTTTGTATTTTTCTAATATTAGCCTGTTTGTATTATTTTTTTCAGACACGACGACAATAATTCTGTTCACGACGAGCAAAGAGTGCACAAACAAAGCAAAAAAAAGAAATCGAACAAATAATATTTTGACGGGGCAGAAGTATTTTTGATAATTTTTTTTGTTTATTTTTTCTCATCTTTTATTGTTATAACATTTTATTATTGTTATTATTAAATCAAGTCGATTTTTGTTGTATAAAATGAGTATTAGTTAACTTGAAAAAAAAATGTATAAGCAAACGAGTGAGTTGTACATTGGTTCCTACATTTTTCATACAGAACATAACAATTGATGTTTTTTTTTAAAAATATTTTTGATAATTTTTTTATATTGTTTACGTTTTATTGTTATAAAATTTTGTTTGTTTATAAAATCGAGTAGATTTTTGTTGTATATTATGTGTATATATAAAAAAAAAACAATAAAAGAGTATCGTTAACGTTAAAATGTATACCAAAAGTTACCAAGTCGGTTCCTACATTTCCTACAGAACATAAAAAAAAAAAAAAATTGTATGGCCTTTTTTAAAAATATTTTCGATACTTTTTTTTGTTCACAATTTAATGTTGTTTAAAGTAGATTTTTGTTCAAACAAAACGGTAACGTAAAAGATATCGACGTTACTGTTTTCACAAGCCCGTTGTTACGTTACTTCCTGTACATTTAAATACATTCACAGGAAGTGTCGAATAAATAATAATTTGATATTACTCATTGTGTCTAATACATTTAAACCTTTTGTATTAACCTTAGAAGCCGATTATTGTTTGATGAAATAAACATAACAATAATTTTAGAATTTATCAAGCTTTGTAAATTTCAAATTCAAACATTAATTTCACAATTGTAATAAAACGCGTTAATTATTTTAGTTCTCATCCAAGTCGGAATACAATTTAAGACTTGTCGAGTTGTTTTGTATCGATGTAAAAAAATATATTGTATTATATTAATCAAAATCAATGCCATAAATATTTCAAAATTTGTATTCTTTTTTTGGTGTTGAATTAATTAAAATTTCGATCTTGTATAAAAATAAAAAGTAAGCCGTTTTCTAGAGAGTTACTTGTTTACCGTTAAAAGTTAAAGTAAAATTGTATTACTTATTGGTCCGCAGCAGTGCACACAAGCTGGTGAACAATACGTTCGTTAAAAGCGTTGCTAGGACGCGACGGTGTGCTTATAAAAGTGTATAAATACAAAATAATAATAATAATAATAAAAATAAACAGATATGCACTCTGCAACACAAGGTATATTTATATATTAAAAAAACAAGCAGATTCAAAATTCTGTGACGGACTGTCGACGGTGATGTGTGGGTTACGAATATAGTACATTGACCTATCGACAGCTCACGGAAGACTAAAAAAATAAAACACATACAATTAGCACACACACACCTTGGTAACTTAAGAAGAAAAAAATTAAAACCGATATAAGGATGGAATTGTTTCTTTTTCTTTGCAACACCACGTTGACTGCCATCGTTTTAACCTTCCCGTCCCCACACTGTACTGGTTTTTTTTTGCAATAAACACAATAGCCTGAATAACACACAATCAATGTCTTGGTTATTTTAGTTGGAATGGTCATGATAATAATACATGGCTTAATCGTTTGTACTCCATAATTTCAATTATAATCCCTTGTTCTCGATAAAATTGTTATTTATGTATTATACACTTCCGTTGGAGCAGTCTCACACTAACAGCATCTCCCTTGATACTTTATAGATTATTATTTGTTTACAGCTCTGTTTTACTAGATATTTGACTAATGTACACAGAACGAAATGCAACTGAAAAAAAAAATCTTTGCATGGATCCTTAAATTGTATACTAATTTGTTGTTGTTGTGTTCTAAAGAAAAATCTATGTATCTGACGTTGAAGTTAAAATTAAAACTCATACTGGCGGTACTGTGTGATGGAGAAAATAAAATAAATTTTACTTACATATTTACATGTACTTATTAGTTAAATAGCACTAACGATTTATAGTAGCTGTCGGCTGTTGCCCGTTACATTTACATTTTTAACAATACTACAATAACCTTATATGGAGATTGTAAAAATTATAGTTTTTTTTAATAACATTATACAGGAGCAGTATCACACAAAGTTAAATATACCCCCTTCCCCCCTCGAAAGTACCAACTAGATAAAATTTGTGATTTACACAGTCGCTACTCGAAGGAATTAGTCTAGTATTAAAATTATCCATGTTTTAACTAGTAATAATAGTAGGTGTAAAAGAAAAAAATCGAATAAACTAAAAATTGTTTTAATTCAATAGCTTTAATGATGTTAAAATAATAATAACAATAACGAGAGTACTTGTTCTTATGTTTTTTTAATTTTTTTTTATTGCGCTTTAAAACGGAGACGCATTCTCGATCCAAGCTGAAACAGGCTAAAACCGCTTTTCATAAATTCCTCCGACGATTCGTTGAACTAAAAAAAAAAATATAAATTCATAATATTTATTTAATGAAATAACATAATATAATAACACTTTTTTCTTTTCTAGCACATACCAAATGTTTATTATACAGTCGATTTGTTTTGATTTTTATTTTCACATCAGTTGTCATCGGTGCTATCAACTGGACTGACACGGCGGCTTAGTTTTCCTTTTTTTTCTCAACAATTAAGTTGTTGATTTTTTCAGGTGGTCGTTCATACATCTATATAAAAGTATTAACTATTGTTTAGTTGAAAATTGATTTTCAAGTAAAAAAAAAAAAATTTAAATTAAATTTACTTATATCTTCTTGTACTAATCGTCTCAAACAGGACTTTACTCATAGCTCAAGTCTTAAGAAACATTAGCTCCTGCATACTGGCGCAAAGCTGTACACGTGTAACGTATGCAACAAGACGACTTTGACGACTCCAGCCGGTTATTTCTGAAAAACAAAAACCGTAATCAACTCACAGTCAAACAACAACTGTAAACAACAATTATTTTAGTATTTAATAGTTTATTAGAATTAAAACAGTTATTGGTGGAAAAAGAAAACATTAATTTGTCTAAACATTTATACAGTACTACTTGCTTAAGACGTTGTTTTCCGTCGGTCCCTAAACATTTCCTATACTAATCATTGTAAAAATTAACGTTTGGTTTTTCTCTCATTTCACAAAATGTAAAACTTCCTCGCTGCGACACATACTCGGAATCTTAATAATGTATAATACATGAAGAGAGAATTTGTCAAACGTTCCAAATGCCAAAGTATAAAAATAGAACTTAATAATTTTTGATTTGTAGTCAATTCATTACCGGAGACACTTTGACATTTTTTCAAGTGTTAAATACACGATAGTTTTTTTTTTTTATAAATAACTCGCTCACTTGAAAAATGTACAAAATTGTTTCCGCCAATGAATAAAATACAAATCAAATTATAAAGTTCAATTATTATACTTCGGCACTTGGAACGTTTGACATATTCACTCTTCATATATATATACAACAACATTATTAATAAAATAACATAAAGCGAGCTGCCCAGTAATTCGAGTTGCCAATACCACACAGCGTACTAATCAATCCAATGACTTGAAAACAAGAAAATTGATAATAAATAAGTACCTACGTAATAATTGAAATAAAGTAGATAGTACATAAGAGGGTTATTTGCGAGCAAATAAAGTAACAAAAAAGAACCAATAACCAAGAAAGAATAAAAAAAGTAACAAAATGCAAATTACCCGTTTGATTTTTTTTTTTGATACACGTATGTGTGTCGCATTGTTTTTGTAACGTAAAGTCGATACATTAAGTACTAGGATGATTTTTTTTTTTTCAAATTTCCACACAAGACGCTCTTTTGGAACAGGGCCCTCGCTGGTTTTACTGTACTCACTATTTATACTTACATTTTGAAAATAATATATTATAATATAAATGAGAACATATTTTCAACAATAACATTATCCAACAATCAACGTTGATAACAATATTATTATCAATCGACATAATATTTGGTCATCACTACCGTGACGTTAGCTACGGTTTTCGAAAGCGCCGCGTTGCCAACTTCAGGCACACGCCGGACATTATATTGTGAAGGCGCCCGCCGTCGGCGGCGGCGGCGGCGGCGGTTACCGCTGTGGTTACCGTCGTGGTTACCGCGGTTCGCCGTAACCGCCAACCTTGGAACAAACACAACGTTGCCGAACACGCGCCGTCCAATCGCGGAACGAGTTGGCGGGTCGACCGCGCTCTCTGATTACAATAAAATAGTATTATGACCAGAATTTTGTATTATCAAGACACGCTAGTCACCACCAGTGGCTTGTTTGATCCGCGCTGTTGAAACTCGCTGGTCGTGTAAGTGTGTGTGTGTGTGTGTTACTAACGAATGCCCGAAAAAAATCACACAACAATTTGCGACTGACTTTTCCCGAGTTCGTTTTGCCGTTTAAAAAAAATGCAAGTTTGAACGATTTCTGACAAATAATGGCCGCCAGCGATTCCAAAGCGCCGCTTCGGACGGTCAAAAGGGTGCAATTCGGCATTTTGTCTCCGGACGAATGTGTAAGTCTTTTTGGAACGAAATTCCTTATTTTTACTGTACACAATATCTCTTCCACGAAAATCCGTTACACAACCCACTCGGCCGAGGGCAGAAACCGCATCGAATGATGACGTACGAATTGCATATTTTCCACACAATTGTTGCACGTCCAAACGGGCATGTCCACCAAAAACAAACAAAAATACTCTTCCTTTACTTTACACAAAAAAATATCTACGATATGCCGTTTAAAAACCTCGATCATTCAAATATATCGTGTCTCGTTCACACGGCGCGCTTGGGCGTGTCATTATTCGACGATAACGATCTATACCTGGCCGTCGAATAATGAAAAATCAGTCCAAGACGAGTAGCGCTCTGGGTAGTAAGAATATTTTCTCAATCTGGTCAAACAATGATGTGTACTGTTTGGTGTGATAGCCTATCGTTTGGAAGGACCGATGTGTCACTGTCAATCCGTATTGATAAACTCCAAAAGATTTGCCGTATTGTGATGGCCGATTTTGGAAACGCCGCTTAAACCGCCTGGAATTTCCATGTGTAGTTTTTTTGGCTATTATTTAGTATACTGTTAGGTTAAGTATACGTACAACAAACGTGTGAACGTTCTTATCGTTTGGGTCATGTCTTTTGTGAGTAGACCTGGTTATTCGTCCACGTATGTAGGTCGCTTCTACACACGGGTGCCTAAGACATTATGTTGATCTCGGCCATCGGCTTTGTCAAATATATCGTCCATGATTGTGTTATCCGTGTCCTCGATTGGAAGTAAGCCAAACCTTCAGAAGCTGATAAAGGTGTCATGACGTTACCTAATATTGCCTGACAATTGTTTTTTTATGCTTAGTTTCGATTTCTTTTGTCCTTGTATGTGAAACAAAACGGACAGCCTTAAATTTCGCAATTAAATACGCTTCCATTACATTTTTATGGACCAATTGAGAGGTTTGCCTTGTCTAGTGCAAACCATTTCGGGCATTTACATTTCATTTAGCTTGAAAAATCAAAATTGTAATTATAGTTGTATTATTTACTTTATATAAAATTACACAATATATCACCTTTTTTACACAATATATACCTAGCTATGTATTAAAATTCAATAGACATAATTTACTACAAACGGATACTGTGGACGTTTGATCAGATACCTACTAGATCTTGGATATTTTAATAAAGAGAACATTGTTTTTAATGGATATCGGTTTTTTTTATGTACAAAGTATTCAAAAATAGATAAACGTTTTAAATTAGCGATCTTAGTTTTAGACTTATGATGATGGACAAAGTCAATGGATACCCGTGTATCTATTGTATGTTTAAAGATCCATTTTGTGTTTTCTTTGTTTGTCCATCAATGTTATAGATATTTTTTCTGACATACTTGGATTTACACACATAATTATGGTACACATCATAAAAAAAAACGTTTGAAATGATTATGTTAATGCATTAATATTGTTGACGTGTCGATTGCCTCTATTGTTGATGCGCGAAAGTCAAATTTCAATTAAATTTTCGTCACATTCAGCGGTGTGGTTTCTGCCCGATCGTGCAACGACACGACAAACCCCAAATACATTTATATATATATATATATTTGTACATTTATTATGTCACTTGTTACGATATGCCGTTGTTTTACACTTATCACATTTTTTTTTCAATGCATCCGTAGCGCCGAATGTCGGTCACCGAAGGAGGTATCCGGTTTTCGGAGACGATGGAAGGCGGTCGTCCAAAACTCGGAGGATTGATGGACCCCAGACAAGGAGTTATCGATCGCTTTTCAAGATGTCAGACGTGTGCAGGTACGACGAGCAGTATCGGTGTATATTTAACACACCGTGGCTTTTTTGGGTGTTGAATCATTAACTTCTAGAAAAATAAACCCCCCTCTCCCTAAAGCTCTAAAACAGTACAGTATGCACTTAGCTCAACATTTTACTCAAACCTTACACTGCAACAATGTCAAACAGAGTATGATGATGAAATATTGCAACTTTCTATGTGAGCCTATTGTTTTGGAGCTTAAACGTGTTTATTTCCTACAAGTTATAATATATACGATATATTCCATAAGACCATAACATATAATTATTATTTTTGTTCGCCTTAGGTAATATGACTGAGTGTTGCGGTCATTTCGGTCATATCGAACTGGCCAAACCTGTGTTTCACATCGGTTTCATCCCCAAAGTGATAAAAATATTACGTTGCGTTTGTTTCTACTGTTCGAAACTTCTGGTCAGCCCCGTGAGTATATATAGATGCTGGACGCAAAAAAAAAAAAAAGGAAACAAAATATGCTTAATTTTTCAAAATTAACCCACGTTTTTAAATTTGTTCACAGACTCATCCTAAAGTCAAAGAGATCGTGATGAAATCCAAAGGGCAGCCGAGAAAACGTTTGGTGTTTGTGTACGATTTGTGTAAAGGAAAAAATATATGCGAAGGAGGCGACGAGTTGGACATAAACAAAGAGAACGATCCCAATTTGCCAGTGAGTACGACAAAAAGCCAATGGCGTTATACTCTAATCGGGAAAGAAGAATTTTTTTATATTCTATCCTATTAAAAATATTAGGGTTTAATATTGAAACATTCAACACAGCTATAACAATTATTAACGTTTTACAGCCGAAGAAACAAGGTCACGGCGGTTGCGGTCGGTACCAACCGAACATTCGACGTGCCGGCCTGGACCTTACGGCCGAATGGAAGCACGTCAACGAAGATTCTCAAGAGAAGAAAATACCGTTGACGGCGGAACGGGTGCACGAAATCCTGAAACACATTACCGACGAAGAGGTGGTCATCATGGGAATGGACCCGAGATTCGCCAGACCCGATTGGATGGTGCTCACCGTGTTGCCGGTGCCTCCGTTGCCCGTCCGACCGGCGATCGTCATGTTCGGATCGGCCAGAAATCAAGTTAGTACCCGTACCTAATAGTAACGTGTACAAATTCTCAATTTGTTTTTTTTAACCCCCCCAGGACGATCTAACCCATAAGTTGGCGGACATAATAAAATGTAACAACGAATTAATCCGCAACGAACAATCTGGCGCCGCCACTCACATTATATCTGAAAATATAAAAATGCTGCAATTCCACGTGGCTACATTGGTCGACAACGATATGCCCGGACTGCCGAGGTAATGCCTAACTACTGCAGTTGACTTATGAATTTTCACTATTTTTTTTACATAACAAACCTAGTTGGTCAATAAAATACAAATTAATATATATGATATATATATTTACAAGTACACTAGTTCATATATATATATTAATTAATTTTAACTTATATTTAATAAGTTGTTGAAATGTGAAGAGTCAATTGTTTGTTTACGGATTTGACCGGGCATTTAAAATGTTGTGTATTCTCTTTAACCTAACCTAACCTCAGTACCCACCACAGTACTTAGGAGATTAAATGTATGTGTGTTTTTTTGTTTTACACAGGGCCATGCAAAAGTCCGGTAAACCTTTGAAAGCGATCAAAGCGCGTTTGAAGGGCAAAGAAGGCAGGATCCGAGGCAACTTGATGGGGAAGCGCGTGGACTTCTCGGCCCGTACCGTCATCACGCCGGATCCGAATTTGCGTATCGACGAGGTCGGCGTTCCCCGTTCGATCGCTCAGAACATGACGTTTCCGGAAATTGTCACTCCGTTCAACATTGACCAGTGAGTGCAAGCAGTCAAAGTCTTAGGGTTGGCATTTGTAAAACGGAAACGTTGGACGAATAATTAAATTTGTCGATAATGTTATGTTAATATTTTTCATACCTTGTTTAGCATGCTCGAGTTGGTGCGACGCGGCAATTCCCAGTATCCCGGAGCCAAGTACATTATACGCGACAACGGCGAACGAATCGACTTACGCTTTCATCCCAAACCGTCGGACCTCCATTTGCAGTGCGGCTACAAAGTCGAAAGACACATTAAGGACGGCGATCTGGTGGTGTTCAACAGACAGCCGACGTTGCACAAAATGAGTATGATGGGTCATCGTGTCCGCGTGTTGCCGTGGTCTACGTTCCGTATGAACTTAAGGTGAGCGTCGTGTGTGTGTGTTAAGATGTATAATGTGATATAATTTAAACTGGTCAAAGATAATAGCGCTAAGTAATTTTGTCGATAATAAGGAGATGTATATATGTATATTTATTTTATTTTTATCGTTCAAATAGTTGTACGTCGCCTTACAACGCCGATTTCGACGGCGACGAGATGAATCTTCACGTGCCGCAGTCTATGGAAACGAGAGCCGAAGTAGAAAACATCCATATCACTCCGAGACAGATCATTACGCCGCAAGCGAACAAACCCGTCATGGGCATCGTACAGGACACGCTGACGGCTATCAGGAAAATGACCAAGAGAGACGTTTTCCTCGAGAAGGTTGTTAATTAATTTTTTTTTTTTTTTAAGGAGGGCCCATTTTTCTTAATACTGCTATACATTATTATTTTGTTTTTACTGGTGTTAAAGCCGTATTAATAGCGTTGTTGATATCGATCCCCGTCCAATGCTCGTTAATATCGGTATAACCATTGTACCCCATTATCTCCAAAACAATGGCAAAGCGAACGCTCAAGGTGTAACACCGGTAATTGTTGAACATAAACAATTACACATTACATTGGCCTTAAAAAATTACATGTGTTTAATCGAGCTTTGCAGCTAAACGATTAATTTATACTATGACTTTTCTTTAAACAAATTTAAAGAACATACATTTTTAATACCAGAAATATATCCATATCTCTATCGACTGTCGTTTGGGCCTAGCTTAGCCAACCAGCCAAACAGACACATTATACAGTGGTATATCGTTTGAAACCAACTAAAAGCATTTTTTTGAAAATGTTCTCAAACGACAAAAAATTCCTTGAGGTGGGCGATTTTAAAACCAACCAAGATTTTGCCAATATTTATTATTTTCTATTCAATAATAGTTTTACACACCGTGTAAAATTCAATGTGGCTAACTTAAAAGAAAAAACCTTTTTCAAAATGTCTTTTAGCTGGTCTTGAAACTAGACGCCTCATTTATAATAATATTAATATATTATTATATATTTTTTTTAGTACAAAGCTATAAAGAGTATTTACCTGTTATAATTAGAATATATCCTGTCAATGCTCGTTAATAATCGTATAACCATTGTACCATTATCTCCAAAACATTGGCAAAGCGAATTCAAGGTGTATTGTAACTTAATTATTATTAATTATAAACAATTATACTACAATCGCCTTTAGACATTACATATTATTTGATTGAGATGTATAATATACATTAAAAAATATGTTTTCTTTTATTACCAAAAATATATTCTGGTTATAAAGCTATAAAGACTATTATAATAGACCCATTTTTCTTAATAGAAATTTAATTGTGGTATAAAAGCCATAAAGCTGGTAATAACATGTTACATTCGAAATGGTTCTGTCCAATGCTCGTTAATAATCGTATAACCATTGTACCATTATCTCCAAAACATTGGCAAAGCGAATTCAAGGTGTATTGTGTAACACTATAATTATTGACTAAAAACAATTATATTACATTGGCCTTAGAAACATTACATACTTGATCATGTCTCAGATCATTTTAGACAACGCTATTTCTATTTAGATTATAATATTTGTAAATGTGTGTATTTAGGAACAAATGATACAATTTGCTGATGAAATACATTAAATAAGATACTATTTTTAATAATATTAATATATTATTATATATTTATTAAGTATTAAGCTGTTTAATAGTTGAATCGATCCAGCCAATAGCTCGTTAATAATAGTATAACCATTGTACCGTTATCTCCAAAACATTGGCAAAGCGAATTCAAGGTGTATTGTAACTTAATTATTATTAATTATAAACAATTATACTACAATCGCCTTTAGACATTACATATTATTTGATTGAGATGCATAATATACATTAAAAGCTATAAAGACTTTTATAATAGGCCCATTTTTCTTAATAGAAATTTAATTGTGGTATAAAAGCCATAAAGCTTGTAATAACATGTTACATTCGAAATGGTTCTGTCCAATGCTCGTTAATAATCGTATAACCATTGTACCATTATCTCCAAAACATTGGCAAAGCGAACTCAAGGTGTATTGTAACACGATAGTTATTGAATATAAATAATAATTATATTACATTGGCCTTAGAAACATTACATATTTGATCGAGACGTATATAATATATATTAAAAAATATATATATTTTCTATTACCAAAAATATATTCGGTTATAAAGCTGTAAAGAATATTATAATAGGCCCATTTTTCTTAATAGAAATCTATTTTTTGTATAATAGCCATAAAGCTTGTAATATATGGTGAATTTGAAATGAATCTGTCCAATGCTCGTTAATAATAGTATAACCATTGTACCGTTATCTCCAAAACATTGGCAAAGCGAACTCAAGGTGTATTGTAACACGATAGTTATTGAATATAAACAATAATTATATTATATTGGCCTTAGAAACATTACATATTTAATCAAACCACATTTTGTGTCTCATTCCAAGTGTCACGCCTCACTTTAGACGACGCTATTTCTATTTAAAATTATAATATTTTATGTAAATGTATGTTTGGTAACCAATGATACAATTTACTGATGAAATATATTGAATATACCATTAATTTAATATACCATTTATAATAATGTTAATATATTATTATATATTTATTTAGTATAAAGCTGTAAAGAGTATTTACCTGTTATAATTAGAGAATCTACCCAGCCAATGCTCGTTAATAACCGTATAACCATTGTACCGTTATCTCCAAAACATTGGCAAAGCAAATACTCAAGGTGTAAACATAATTATTGTCTATAAACAATTATATACTACATTGGCCTTTAAACAATATATCACATATTCGATCTAGCCTTGTCTTACCTCACCCTCGGACAACTCTATATTTCCAATTAGATTATAATATTATTTGTTAATGTGTGTGTGTGTGTGTATAGGAACAAATGATGAACTTGCTGATGCACTTGCCCATATGGGACGGGAAAATGCCTACGCCTTGTATATTGAAACCCAAACCGCTGTGGACGGGCAAACAGTTGTTCTCGTTGATCATTCCCGGCAACGTTAACATGATACGCACGCATTCCACGCATCCGGACGACGAAGACAACGGACCGTACAAATGGATATCCCCTGGAGATACAAAGGTATGTGTGACCCGCGGTGGTGTAGTTCACCGCCACTTGAATGTTATCATCAATATGTGGTATAATTGTGTATTTGTAACATTTGTTTTTTTTTGCCCAGGTAATGGTGGAACACGGTGAACTGGTAATGGGAATATTGTGTAAAAAGACTTTGGGTACGTCGGCCGGCTCGTTGCTTCATATATGTATGTTGGAACTTGGACACGAGGTGTGCGGTCGGTTCTACGGTAACATCCAGACCGTGGTCAACAATTGGCTGTTGTACGAAGGTAATATTGTGTATTTATATATGTAAACATATATATATATATATATATGTTTAACGATGTGTGTAACACTTGTGTAAAACTGTTGTGACGTCGTTTTTCATTCAGGTCATTCCATCGGTATCGGTGACACTATTGCCGATCCGCAGACGTATTTGGAAATCCAAAAGGCCATCAAGAAAGCCAAAGAAGACGTTATCGAGGTGATACAAAAGGCGCACAACATGGACCTGGAGCCGACGCCCGGCAACACGTTGCGTCAGACTTTCGAAAACCAAGTGAACCGGATTTTGAACGATGCCCGTGACAAGACCGGAGGTTCTGCGAAAAAATCCCTCACGGAGTACAACAATCTCAAGGCTATGGTCGTGTCCGGGTCCAAGGGATCGAACATTAACATTTCTCAGGTACGACGTGTGTCACAACATGGTGGTTAGTGTATTATTTCCATGTCTTTGCTATGGCTGGCGCACACACGCGAAAAATCGACACCGGTTATCGTAACGAAAAATAACAGCTGATTTATCTGATAAGAGAGATAAGAGATAAGGGAAATCGATAAGAGATGGTTTTTACACAGATGTATATGTATAATAAACTAGATTGCTAACTAGCGATAAGAATTGAAGCCGACGGTCCGCCATTCTGGTGGGATTTATGTGTGTTATCAATGCATATAATTATATCTGTATACATTATTCAATCAATATTATATATATATGTGATTGTTATAAACATATATAATTCTCGCGTGATAAGGTTCTAATTCCCATCAAGATGGCGGAAAGTGGCTGCTTCAATCTTCTCTATTGGTGGTGTATACAGTTAGCAATCTAGTTAATTATATATATATCTATGGGTTTTTACTTTGGAACACAACCGGAAAAATCGACACCGACACCGGTTGGTTATCATAACGATTTATCTGATAAGAGAGATAAGAGATTACAGATATGAGATAAGAGATAAGGGGTTAGGGGTTGAAATGGGTTGGGGTTGGAGGTGGGAACGGGGTTGGGTTAAGAGATATGAGATAGGGGGTAAGATATAGGAGTTATGAGATAGGGGTAAGATATAGGAGATAATAGATGAGGGGTGGGAGTAGGAATGGGTTACGCGGTTTTCTGATAAGAGATAAGAGATATGTTGTACGTTGAACGTTCAAATTACGAGCTAAATGATAATTTCGAAATAGTTTAAGGGTCCAAATTCTCTATGAATTGTTTCTAGGCCAGATATTAAACACTACGATATTACCCGGAGAAACTTGATGTTTTAATATTATTATACTAGCTTGTTACTGCTCGTTAATATACTATATACTGTCATTATCTATAATTCCCACCACCACTGTAAATGTATTCGGTACTTGGACGAGACACGGAAAATGCTCTTTCGCGGTTGCAGAGACTCTGCTGAAAAAACTTTTCGTGTAGCCGGTCGACTACTATTTAAAACTACCGATTTGCTACTTGCTATTTGCAGGTTATCGCTTGCGTGGGACAACAAAACGTCGAAGGTAAACGCATACCGTTCGGTTTCCGCAAACGTACGTTGCCGCATTTCATCAAAGACGATTACGGTCCCGAGTCCAGAGGGTTCGTGGAGAATTCTTACCTGGCCGGTTTGACACCGTCCGAATTCTATTTCCACGCCATGGGAGGTCGCGAAGGTCTCATCGATACCGCCGTGAAAACCGCAGAAACCGGTAAATCGTCAGCACCTCTCTACTCGATATTAACATGATATGTTAACACCGTCCGTGTTCCACGTGTTCCACATTCAGGTTACATCCAGAGACGTTTGATCAAGGCCATGGAGTCCGTGATGGTCCATTACGACGGCACCATCCGCAACTCGGTCGGCCAGCTGATCCAGCTGCGTTACGGCGAAGACGGTCTGTGCGGCGAGGCCGTGGAGTTCCAGAGCATCGCCACCATCGAGCCGTCGCACAAGAAATTCGAGGCCGAGTTCAGGTTCGACGCGTCCAACGAGAGGCACATGCGGAAGATATTCACCGAGGACGTGCTCAAGGACCTGTTGGGCAGCAACGACACGGTGGCCGAGTTGGAAAAGGAATGGGAACAGCTGAACACCGACCGGGACACGCTGCGGGAGATCTTCCCGTCGGGCGAGAGCAAAGTGGTGTTGCCGTGCAATCTCAAACGCATGATATGGAACGTGCAGAAGATTTTCCACATCAACAAACGGGGCCCGACCGATTTGAACCCCGTCAAAGTGTTGAACGGTAGGTTGATATGAACTTTTTGCCTACCCCCCTTCTTCTTCGGCTTAACGGTCCTTGAAGGACCTGAGCTGCCACAATTAAGCCTCTCCACCAATTGTGAATGTCCCTCTCCACAGCATCCTTCCATCTCGTTCGCGGTCTACCCAGTGGTCTCGTTTTTCCTGTATCGTTGCATTTGTGATCTTTTTTTAATATATAATATCATCTTCAGCTCTCCAAATGCGTCCAAACCACTCCGTCCTCTTGGTTCTTATATACGTTAGTGTAGTTGGTTTTCCATACAATTGGTACAAATTTTCGTTTTTTCCGCTTTTCGAATGTTTCTACGTCGAGATTGTACACCGGGCCAAAAAAATTTCTCAAAACCTTTTTCTCAAATATCGCCAGTTTTTTGTTATCGCCTTTCGTCGCAGACCAAGTCTCACACGCTGATCTTCTCCTCTCCTGGAAAGCGCCGTAAATTTTGTTTTTTCTTCGTTAATACACAAAGTCCCATCCTTTTTCTGGCTGCCAAAAGGTTAGACATGGGTCTGGGTGACATCTTGTCTGGAATTTCCTAAAATGACAATACCATCTGCATACGCCAATATTATTTCTTTATTTATCACCTCCACTCGATGACTATGATTTATTTCTCGTATCACCTTTTCAAGTTGGGGATAAGGCATCTCCCTGCCCGTAAACCCGAGTTTACTTCAAAGGCTGATGAGATAATTCTCCCAGAAATTTCACTTTACATTCTGTCTTGTTATTGCACAGTTTTACCATATATTGTGTGACAAATATGACAATTAGACTTTATATAATAACACTGTCGGTGGTGTTTTGGTACACAGGCGTCAAAGAGTTGTTGGACAAATGCATTATCGTGGCCGGCCAGGACCAGCTGAGCAGACAGGCCAATCAAAACGCCACGTTACTGTTCCAATGTTTGGTACGGTCCACCCTGTGCACCAAGTCGGTGTCGGAGAAGTTCCGTTTGTCTTCGGAAGCGTTCGAATGGTTGGTCGGTGAAATCGAAAACAGATTTAAACAAGCTCAGGCAAGTGACCGAGAAGAAGTGCTTGATAATAATCGAATGCATTATTTAATGTCTTAACAACGGTTTTGTGTTTAATTTTTTAAAAAAAAAACAGGCTGCCCCCGGAGAAATGGTCGGAGCGTTGGCCGCTCAGAGTCTAGGAGAACCGGCCACTCAGATGACGTTGAACACTTTCCATTTCGCCGGTGTGTCTTCGAAGAACGTAACGCTCGGTGTGCCCAGGTTGAAGGTAAACGACAACGGCTGTGCGCCTCCTATTGTTGTTGTTGTCCAATGAAATCTTAATCTTAATCAGTTCTTAATCGTTTACAGGAAATCATCAACATAAGTAAAAAACCAAAGGCCCCTTCGCTGACCGTGTTCTTGACGGGTGCCGCGGCTAGGGACGCGGAGAAAGCGAAAAATGTCCTCTGCCGTCTGGAACACACGACGCTCAGGAAAGTCACGGCAAACACGGCCATCTACTACGATCCAGATCCGCAAAACACGGTGATCCGGGAAGATCAAGAGTTTGTCAACGTCTACTACGAGATGCCGGATTTCGATCCGACCAGAATCTCTCCGTGGTTGTTGCGTATCGAGTTGGACCGCAAAAGAATGACCGGTACGCGTTACCGAGTTAAAGAACTCAATATTATCCAAGTTTGATTGTCTCCATTTAAACTAATGTACCTATTTTTATTAGATAAAAAATTGACTATGGAAGCGATATCCGAAAAGATCAACGCCGGCTTTGGCGACGATCTCAATTGTATTTTCAACGATGACAACGCCGAGAAGTTGATCTTGCGCATACGCATAATGAACGGCGAGGACGGCAAAATGAACGGAGGCGACGACGAAGACACGGTGGACAAAATGGAAGACGACATGTTCCTCAGGTGTATCGAAGCGAACATGTTGTCCGACATGACCCTGCAAGTATGTCGGAATGGAAAATTTCATTTTTATTTGTGCATATTAAATTGTATACAATATTTACTGTTTTATTTATGTTTACAATATTTACTGTTTTTTTTTTCAACAACAACAGGGTATAGAAGCAATATCGAAAGTGTACATGCATTTGCCTCAGACAGACTCTAAGAAGAGAATAATCATCACGGACACGGGTGAATTCAAAGCCATCGCCGATTGGTTACTGGAAACCGACGGCACTAGCTTGATGAAAGTCTTGAGCGAAAGGGATGTGGATCCCGTGAGAACGTTTTCCAACGATATTTGTGAAATATTCTCCGTAAGTGTATCGTCGCGTTGTCAATTTTGCATTTTTTATTGACTACTTTTATGTTGTAAAAAATCATTGGATCGTTTATAAAAAAAAAAAAAAACATTAATAACAATCCGTTTACACAGGTGCTGGGCATAGAAGCCGTGCGTAAGTCTGTGGAAAAAGAAATGAACACCGTGTTGAATTTCTACGGACTGTACGTAAACTATCGGCATTTGGCTTTGCTGTGTGACGTGATGACGGCCAAAGGTCATTTGATGGCCATCACTCGGCACGGTATCAACAGACAAGACACCGGAGCGTTGATGAGGTAAAATTACTCAACGATTACGATAATATGAGTTACCGAATAGTACGCTAATGATTTGTCGTAACCGAGAAACAATATTTTATATTTATTATTATTATTGTATTAAATTTATTTTATATGCTGATTATGGTTACAATGACTTATTGTTTACTTTTTCCCAGATGTTCTTTCGAAGAAACTGTCGACGTTTTGTTAGATGCCGCTTCGCACGCCGAGGTCGATCCAATGAGAGGTGTATCGGAAAACATTATTATGGGACAATTGCCCAGGATGGGAACAGGTATGACTAGACAAGAGCAATTGTTTTTTTTTTTAATTTGTTTTATCATAATTTAGACACATCTATCAATCAAACCCTCCTTAAATATAATTTGTAACATTTCTTATAATAAGTAAAATACCTTACAATTACTTAAAGTTGTTAACTTAGTGGTGGTCTAAACAAATTGTATTTTTGCTCTTAATCCCCCCTCTCACCTTAATATTCATTTTAATATAAAAGTAAGTTGGGGAAAAAAACAATTTTTAAAAATATATTTTTAGGCAATCCCAAGCAATATTTTATAATATTTGATTTGATTTTTTTTTTTGTTAGTGTTTCAATGAATTGTTATAACTTGTTAGGCTTTCTTAACCGGCCATAGGCTACTTTAAGGCCTAGTTTGATCGCCTTCGGCAGTTTGTTTTACTGTTCCAAGCCATTTTCCATTTAACCCTTAACTTGATATTGCATCTTTTAAGATACATGTGTATTTTATTTTTAACTTTCCATGGCCAACCTAAAATGTACTATTATCTATTTTTTATATTTAAAGTAAATTGGCTCAGGGCATCTACTACTTATGTACTAATAATATATGTTGTATTATTACTGTTAGATAATTTATATTAATTTTATAATTATCATTACCGTTTAAAGGTTGTTTCGATTTGCTGTTGGACGCCGAGAAAGCCAAGGACGGTATAGAAATACCGATGGACGCCGGTTACATGGGCATCGGCGGTGGCGGTATGTTCATGGGAGCAGGTACGCCTTCGATGTCTCCGGCCATGACTCCGTGGGATCATACGAACACTCCGCTCTATCAAAACAGTTGGTCGTCGAGTGAGTCGCCTAATGATGTTTTTTACATTTCGAAAGCAAAATTAGTTTGTAATTATTAGTGTTACAACAATGATTATTGACCGTTACAGCCATGACTCCCGGAGGTCCCGGTTTCTCTCCGGCCGGATCCAGCGAAACCGGCGGCACGTCCCCGTACTGGATGACCAGCGGCGGCACTCCGGGCAGCCCGGGATCGCCAGGCCTGGCCACCAGCCCGTACGTGCCCAGCCCCAGCTCCATGTCGCCCAACTACACTTACCCGTCGAGCCCTCAGTTCGGTGCCATGTCGCCGTCGATGACGCCGACCAATTACTCGCCGACCAGCCCACAGTACACGGCCAATCTGCAGAACACACCCAAGTACTCTTCGATGTCGCCCAATTATAATTATTCCCCGACCAGTCCTTCGTATTCGCCAACGAGTCCGTCTTACTCGCACACTTCATACTCACCGACCAGCCCTTCGTAAGTCAAACAACGCAATGTTTTGTGTCTAAAACATTGATTCACCGTTATTGTGTTTATAACTCATTTAGATACAGTCCGACGTCGCCGTCGTACAGCCCCACGTCGCCTTCGTACAGTCCGACGTCGCCGGCTTACAGTCCTACGTCTCCATCGTACAGCCCCACGTCTCCGTCGTACAGTCCTACGTCGCCGTCGTAAGTAACGTTTGTCCACTATTACACTTATTATTGTTTATGTTATTTACTAATGCATTTTTTTTTTTACCTTTCTTCAGGTACAGCCCGACCAGCCCAGCGTACAGCCCTACGTCGCCGTCTTATAGCCCGACCTCTCCATCGTACAGTCCGACGTCTCCGTCGTAAGTGTATTTTTATCGTTTGGCTAGCGTATTGTTGTAAAATTAAAAACTATTTATTTCATACTTAACACAACGATTGCATTGTCTGTATCGATTAGGTACAGCCCGACTTCGCCGTCGTACAGTCCCACGTCGCCGTCGTACAGTCCGAGCTCTCCGCAGTACGCGGCTTCTTCGCCGTCGTACACTCCCAGCGGCGGATCCAACAGTAGCAATTACAAGTATTCGCCGACCACGCCGTCCCTGGCGGTCAGTCCGACTTACTCTCCGACCAGTCCGATGTATTCGCCGTCGAGCGCTTCGTACTCGCCGTCTTCACTGCAACGCGGCGCTTCCGGATCGGGCAACGCGCAATACAATCAGTCGTACAGCCCGAGCTCTCCGGTGTACTCGCCGACGAATTTCCCGGTGACCAGTCCAAGGTAAAAAATGATCTACAATGATCTACCGTTGATCAATTATTATCACCGTGATCTAGCTTTAATGATAATGTAATATTTAAATATATGTGTAGGTATTCTCCGACGTCTCCTACGTACTCTCCGGCGGTCGGCAGCCCGACTTACTCGCCTTCGTCGCCCAGCTATTCGCCGACGTCGCCCAACTTCAGCGGCCCGGACGAACATTAATGCATTTTTTTTATTATTTTTTTTTTTTTTTCGTTTTATACTTTTAATTAAATAACTACATAAGAGTAATTATTATTTTCGAGCATGATTGTTAATTTTATTTTATTTCAATTTTTTTTTTTATCATTATTACTATTATTATTATTATTATATAATATTATTACAACTCAATTATTTATGTAAAAAAGTTATAATTAATAAAAAAAAAATAAATCAACCCTCCAAAGGATGAAAATTTACGACAGCAACAACAATCGATTGTATTATTTTGATGTAATTTTTACACGCAATAACGCATTCACATTTGGCATAATGTTACAAACAAAATATGTTATTATTTTTATAGCGCGTCAAGTTTTATACTTAAACTGTGTAAAATCTTATTTTCTCAATATTGTAACGTAATCGATTGATTTTCTCCAACGATTATAGTTGGAAACACAAAAACACTTGTGAGGCATAAAGTAGTATTGTGTATTTATTGTCATCGACTTATTACAACAAAATGGTACATTATTTTTTTAATATGAATATAAAAAATTATTTTTAAAAAAAAAGGAACGTATGACTTGATATTATTACAACGGTACAACAATGTGTGTGTATTGTCACAAAAGTATCTTTTTAAATATTGTTTTCAAAATTATAGTTTTCGTTAATTTTTTTTGCAAATAATTTGTGATTTACAAATGAAGAAAAAGTGTAGTTGTGTTGCTGCGAAGACTAATCGTACGATTAACGTATCCTGTACCGGTGATCCGTCGCTGTAGAAATAGGAACCATTGTGATCGAGCGTCGGATTATTGTTTTCTTATGTGCAAGTGTCCTTCTTGAGCCTATATTAACATATATATATATATATATATATATATATATATTTGTTTTTCTCTTTATATAAAGAAATTGAAAAATGACAAACGTTTCGATAAATACCGATTACTAACGTTACTACGTTTCACTCACCGACGATGAACCATCGGTCAACGTACTACTGTGAACGCTGTCGTTTGCCACGGAAATGTTTTCGTCGGTTTCCACCTCGTCCAGACTGGATTCGTTTCGTAAGCTTTTCGAATCGTAATTGTTGTCTCGGTCGGTGTCGTTGTTGACCGACGACGACGACAACGGCTGGTCTACGCTGCTGCTGCCGCCGCCGTTGTCGGTAACCTCTAAAAGGAGATAACGAACAAAATACAATGATAATTATTATCGTTCAGTACGATTTTTAAAAAGAAAAATTATTATTTACACAAACACTTACCGGAACGACGATCTTTGGTTTCTTTAGCGAGTTTCCGATCGGGGTCGGCGTTTTTGTTGATAATGATGTTGTCCCGTTCGAATATACTGATTTTTATGGGAGACGAACTTTTGGACTTTGTCGGAGAATCGTTTCTGTTGTCGGCTTTGGACGGTTCCGGTTTTTTGCTTTTGGAAATTTGCACAAACGGAGTCTTACCGAATGGCGGCACGTCTTCGTCGTCTTTTGCCGTCGTTTTACTACAGTCCTAAGAGAACAAACGATTCATGTCAATGTTTTTGAATTGTTTTTGTTATAATAATAATATATAATATAATATTATCGTCAAACCGTTGCGGTCGATTTCGAATGCGTCTGATACGCTTCCAGAATTTGCAAAAGCATCGGTCGCTTGTTATCTGTGTAAAAAGAATAAAATAAAACATTTTGCCGTCGATAATTCTTAAGATACTATATAGTATATACTTTACCTTTGGCGACCGATAACTCTTCTACGATGTCGTCTTCCTTTTTGTATTGGAAATTTTTTCCCACACCGGTTTCCGGGTCGAACACGGACGATGTAAAATTCAAATCCAAGTATTCCAATAGTTCTTTCACCAGGGACAGCAACAGTATGCCGTTGTTGTTTGAAACAAAGTTCTTTATAGTATCCGAGTAAACTTTTTCCTGAAAAAAAAAAAGTAAATAATAGAAATAGAAAACGTTGTTTGGCCGCCTTTTGATGACTTTAGATTTTTGCTCACTTGAAACGTAGCACCTTTTTCGAGAATGTGGAAAACGTTTGCTCGTAGTTCAGCCTGTAAAACAATAGCAATAATTTTATAACACTTATTTAGTATAATGTAACACAATAGTAATAGCCGGTTGCCTAAGCCTCTGAGAAAATATATTTAGACAGAACTAGTTTTGGAAATAACAATAATATGCTGAGCCATTACTGGGAATACTCACTCTCATTTTGCTTAGAACTCCAGTGGATTCCAACGTTTTTTCTACCATAGTCTCCAGACTGTTGTTGTTGTCGGTGGTGGACATGTTGTCGCGAAACGGATTTATCGAATTGCCGGCTTAAATAGTGAACATAATACCGTGGGAAAATCGCCGAACTAGATGTTCACATTTACTCTGAACACACTATAAAATGTACAATACAATATTAAAGCTTCAATTGTACAGAATAACACACACACAGAGACTTAATTTTATAAAGAAAACTGAAAAAAGGCTCGTGATATTGACAACTCTTGTTATCACCAACTTCTTATCACTTATTTTTTTGTAACTGTGATAACAGCTGTGTTTGTGTGTTGCCCACAACAATAAAACTATTACAGCCAATGCTTAAAAAAATTCAACATCAACCGTCATCTAATAATATCATAGTGTTAATAATATATTGTTATGAAATAATTCATTTGAAATGTTCTCTTTTATACTCGCTTTTATTTTATTTCATTTTTGACAAAAAAAACCGTTTTCACAATGGCCAACCGAACCGCCGAACCAAAGTAAATATCAGTTGTAATAATATTTAAACGTGCGCACAAGACGTTACATACCTAGGCATTACACAATAGAATAATTCAGTGCCCATAGTAATAGAAATGCTACATGTTTATTGTACGAGTTTATTTTGTTAGGAAAAAGTACAATCTAGGTTAAGGTGGCACACCTGATTATAGTAATTGCCATCTACCAGATGTTATAAAAGTACATTTTTTTCAAAATTATTATATACTTTTTTTTAGTTATTTCCCCCAAATTCTAGACGATTTTAATTTTAATCCGTACAAAAAAAATGTTGTACTTTAAATACTTTTTGTATGCTAAATTTTAATATACAGACATTGCAGTGTTGAATAAAATACTCGAATAGCCCGTGTGAAACAGCGAGTATTAAATTTATTTGATTTTATAACTTGGGTGTATTTAAGTTAGGTTTTTTTGTCTTATGGACATTTTAAATAGATAATAATAATTGCTAAAAAATGCTTGCCAACGCTACAACACATGAGTGAAATAACAATATATGTTTTACTTACATAAAAATCAAATGAAACACTGCTATGAATAATTGTCAATCACAGGTCTTGAAAAATGAATAGGTGAAAGTGCAAAAATATTGCAAGACTCTCTGAAGTAAGGTAATTAGTTTTAGGATAAGCTGTTATTTGCGTTTGGTTAAAAATTACAAATTATGTAACTATGACGTTTTTGAATTAATGACCGCCGATTTGGTTGTTATTGAAAAAAAAAAAAAAAAATTACACTATTTGAAATATTCCATGTGAAATTTGAAATTATAAATCAATACAGATGCCTCTTTACAACGTTAATATACCTATGCAAATTTTAGTTTTAATGTCAAGTTTTATAGAAAAATCTATTCTATACAATGCCACTTGATAAAATCTAATTCAGAAGCTCCTCTTAACCATTAAAATATATACATATTATAATATTATTATAAAATATATATATATATAAACGATTAAATAATATACAAAAACAGGTACGTATGTAAATAAGAATGTTGAAATATGTAAATTTTTTTACACTATATTAAATTAAATTTATAAATACAATTTTTGAAAATTCGGCAATTTTATTACTAATAATGTATTTTATTTTTTAATTTTGATATTATAATTTTCGTTTAAATAAATAAAATAAAACAATTGTAAAATAGTAGTTTTGTTTCTCTGTTTGTTTTAAGTTTATATTATATTTATAAGACTTTATAGGTATCTTTTCTTAGCGTTTGAAATTTGAATTTAGACATTATTTTTTTAATGTTTTACTAATTTAATTACTATACAAATTCAATAGTTCGGTTATTTTTTTTGTTTTGAAATTTTAATATTCTATTGAAAACAATGAACCTATCAAATGTATAGAAATTAATAATAATAATTAATAATTTCTTTAATCATTTCACTTTATTTCCATCCTTCTTATTCCACACCTCTCAAAATTGATAGGTCTTTTTCTATTGCCAACTTTAACTATTCAAACGACTATTACCTCTTTCGCGTGAAGCCGAAAAGTTATTGTTTTTACAATTATGTGTTTTTATTTTTTATAACCTAACCTAACCGATTTTTTCATGTACTTCTCCTTTGGTCTGAAATAAGACCAAATAAAATATATATTTAAAAATTATATTTATTCAAAATAATCCCTCGAAGCTTAAATACAGTTAACGCCGGAAAATGAATTAACAAAAAATGTATTAAAACCGTTCTTTTCTTAAATATTGCCTATACAAAACTCCATAAAAAACAGACTGCAATCCCCATAAAATTATTACTATGAAGTAACCCCTTATAAGGATGTTAATAATGAACGTTAGTTACGTTTGTAATGAAAGACAATTTATTGTCTACCTAAAACATTTGCTAATGTACCCTGAGGGGTTTTGTTTTGGAGAAGTTTTGAATTGAAAACGCCTCTTCTATGATAAAACATATAACTATAAACTCGAAGCTGTATACCTAGGTGTATGTTTTTGTAAGAAAACAATATATATATATATATATATATATATTGCTCTCACTAGTCTCGGGGAATCGTTTAGAGTTCAGACTCGGGTGTGATAATTAATAAACACCGGCTGTAGACACTTTGTTCACCCCCTGGAGATTATAATAACAATAACAATACCCAGTTTGACCTAACCATATGGCTGGTGCCTCTGAGGTCCCACAGCTGACCGTCGAGTGCCACTCAATATAAATATAATATATAAAATATATATATATATATATATATATTATAATTTACTTGTCCAAAACCGTGGAGATGACCAAATTGTATGTCATTCACATTAGCTCTTCGCGCAATTAGCATTGAACAATTGGACTTGATCCAATATGATCGTTTTACCCGAGGCTGTGATTTTTCCTTGTATAATTTAATACTATATACTTTATTTTACATCTTCTATACTAATGTAACATCATAGCGGACGATGGCCGCGTGTAGATGCTGCTACCTTTGGTGTTAATTTGACAGGTGTATAATATATATAATTTAAAGTTGGAGTGGTCTAGTAGTATTTTTTTTTCAATTAGCATAATTAGCTGTCATAGCGCATTGCTCGTCCCTGTATGATTAACATTATGTAACGACCAGGCGACGGAATCAATTAAATTAAATACAATCTCTGCTGCTGGTGCTGCTACTGCTCACACTACTAGTAACTGGATAAAGGTAATATTGTAATTATTTTTTATACCTAGTTTCCAGTCCCACACACGTTGGAGGAATAACGGCGAGAATGCTATTCTTAATAACTGTCGCCATTTTATTATATTAGAATATTTGAATATTTTAATTGAGCCACTTAAATTACAACAGCTGCGAGTCGCCGGGGAAATCCCGAATTTCCTCAAAATTTCTATCATACATTCTTTACAGGTCCTTAATAACAAAAATATTTTTAAACAATTTTTTTTTTAATTTTTTTTTGCACCTAGGTGGATCAATTTTTTAAAAAAATTATCCAAAAAACACCTCATGTACCCGACTCTGTGTAATTTAACAGCCGATAGTGGTATAGACACGAAACCTGCACAATTAAAATTCTATTTAAGTGTACTTTGACCAAATTGTAAGAAAATATTTATTTTTTTTTTAACCCTAGAAATTTTTTATTTTGAATTATTGAATTTTTCAAAAACTTTTTTTGAGGTCAAAAAAAAAAAAATTAAAAACAAATATTTTGTTTATATCAAATTTAAGTTATGTTCTTACGATCCCTATATCATCCTTGAACCAATTAAGTTCTGTTTTGCTATTTATTTACGGTTTAAAACAAGGGTAGTTTTTGCTGAAAACTGCCTAATTTAATGACCCACAGCACAAATGTGACCGAACGAAAATTTTCCAAATTCATGCAATACTTACTTATAAGTGAGTAGAACATCTGGTAAAAGTTTGGCGATGGAGAAATTATTCAGTGGTGAGCGTTCAAATTTTACGATTTACACTTATTGGAAATATACACAATTTACATTTACATTTTGAACCTTTTGAAAAATATATTTTAAGTACACTTAATTAGAATTTTAACTGTGCAGGTGTCTACCACTATAGGCGGTTAAATTACAGAGTCGGGAACATGAGGTGTTTTTGGGTAATTTTTTTTAAAAATTGATCTACCTAGGTCCAAAAAAAAAATTTTTAATTTTTTTTAAAATATTTTTCTTATTAAGGACCTACGAAGAATGTATGATAGAAATTTGAAACATTTTTGAATCAATAGTCGCACACCCATGACTTACTGAATAAACATATAGCGAAGGTATATTAGCCGGCACTGAGAATAATAAAACAATTACCCGAGTGAGATTTCGACAGCGTAACCAAGTGGTGGAAGTGGGAAACCTGGGAAGAAGTGAATTGATGGGAATTGTGTACACACGTGGTGAGGTTGTGTCGAGTGAATAAAACATGATTTGGAAACGAAGGGAAATAAGAAATTGCCATTATTAATAACTGTTCGGGGCGGTATTGTATACTTTGTTTCCGTTGTATAAATCAATATCAAATGTACATTGTAATAAAGTTTATAGAAGAAATATCAGAAATTGCGATTGCTGTCTAGTGTGGTTTTTTTCATGAATTAGCATAGGTTTTAGCATAAGCAGCTTCGAGCTGTTAGGTCTGTTGGAAAATGTAAAACTTATACAAACATACAAACAAATTAAAACTAAAAATTGACGAAAATTCGAATTTTCAGAAATTTTAAACCGATATTTACTTTGGAGAACGCCGCGGGACTCGTTTTCTGATGACTCGTCATGAAGAATAATTAAAAATTGATTTTAATTGAAAAAGCCGTCGGAAAAGCTTTTCTCGGAAAACCTTTTTGTCTAAATATCAGAATAAATTATATTACTGTACAAAACCAAGTGTTACCCTCCATTATTTTTCAACCGACAAACGCGCTGTGTTCCGGCCGAATTAAAATTAAAACTACAACGTTTATAAAATAAAATAAAATCCCCTAACAACCTCCAAATGGCGCCTTGTCTACATTGAATTCGATTCCTCTACACTAGGGAATAGCCACAAGCCTTAAGTACACCATCAGTACCTAAGTAAATCTTAAGCTGGCAAATAATAATTCACTTGCGCCTTACAGTTCTGATAATCAGCAACATGTTAAGGTAAATTTGATTTTTTTTTATTTTCAAACCATATCGAGTGACCATACTTTGTGTAACATTTGAAAAACATTCGT